TTTTTATTTTATCGTAAAGATATGAACAGTAATATACAATATGTTACCGAATGCAGGGATAAATATTAGTAAATTTTTACAGATATTTTTTATTCCCTTAATACTTTCATATATAATATACCCCAATACGGTACAATAACACCAATGCTTCCTCCCTGGGAGATATAAAGACACGATAGTCATGTGTATAAAAGTATGTATGATTCCTATTTAGGGAATATTCCCTACATTCTGTAAATATACTTCTTATAATATGACTAAAGACAGAATATTGATCCTTAAATGCTTAAAAATTAAAAGTATCCGGGTTATCCTCTCCAAATCCTTTTATTTTCTTGATTTATTTTTTATATAATCCTTAAAATGCCCATTGTTAAAATCATAATGTTTTTTAATAAATATTTTCAACATTATCTTAGAAAAAATAGGGGGTAATTATTTGAGGGAGGGCAATTATTGTTTCGATCTCTTGCTAAAGGGGGTAATAAAAGCAGGTGGGGTAACTATTTGAGGGAGGGTAATAAATACAGTATATACGGTACCCATAACAAGATATAACTGAAGATTTATAGAATAAAATATTTTTTAGACTCACTAGTATGTATTTCTAATAATTTTTAAGGAATTTATAAATAATTAAAGAAGTTGTTAGTAGGAGTCTATTGTTAGTATTTCGAGAATCACTCAACGAAAAACAGACGGATTTTGAAAAATTAATAAATTAATTTTAGTTTCTTTCGGAAGAAAATAAAATCTCATTTTTTGTAAATTATAATATTTTCTTTCGCTGCTCTTTGTGAAGAACAAAAAAACTTGCCCGAAATTGCTGAATTATCTGAAGTGAATTGCATAAAAAATGAAGGATGAAAGAAATGAATAGAGAGGTAAGTGAAAATATTGAAATGTAATAAATGAAGGAGTTTAAAATTAAAATGACTTTCTGTAACTCTTGATTTTTTTCGATTTTTAATTTATTTAAATTTTCGATCTCTTTTAAATCGTCATTTAATTTAAAAATTTTATAAAACTTGTTTTAACCTAATTTGTTTTATATTTAAGTTTTCTCTTTTAAATAAACGAAAAATTTAATTAAAATAAAAACTATCAAAACATAAGAAAACTGTTAAATATGGACTTAAATAAAATTAAATATTTTTTGCTTCTCTTCATTAACAATTAGGATTTCCGGTTATAAATGTGTGTTTAAAGGACAGATTTTTATATTTTTAAGTAATAATTTAAAACAAAATTTAAACCAAAATTTTCACATTAACCCACATTTATAGAAACTTTATTTTTTTACTTATCTCGTAAGTATTATATGTATAATAAATCCCGGCACGAATTTTAAAACAGTGAAATAATTTATCTAAAATTCTAACGAGAGGGAGTATTAAATTTTTAGTAAGATTTTTCCTCTTTTAATCCTGTCAATTCTTAATAGGACCCAATACATATTACTGTTTCATATTAAGTACTTATTCTTGTTAAAATAAATTTCGTGAAACTCTTGCGTGTGTAAAGTATTTTTTAAGTTAAATTTGAGTAAAGTTGAAACCTTTTTCAAGAATTGAAAAAATTTTTTTAATAAATTTAAATTTAACAAACACGCCAACTATAAATAAAAATATAATTATCTAAAATGTTAGGAATTGATGAACTAAAAAAATTAAAACAATTTTTTGTATGTTAGAATTTTCAAAAAAAAATTTTTTTATAATAATTTAAAAAGTAAAGAAATGTTGCGTGTTAAAAGGATTTTTTAATTTTCAAAATCTAAGAATAAAAAAATTTTTGTCTGTGTTCGTGTAATAATTTTATAAATTCAAAATTTAAACACGTAATATACCTACAACCTTTTATTAAAGAAATTTATATAAAAAGAAATATTTTAGAGTAGTTTAACTAACATATTTCCCAAAAATGAGCCAACAAAATTATTCAACAGCTTTGGAAAATTATCGCCAAACTGGAGATATTTGTGCTTATTTAAATATAACAAAAACAACTAAAAGTGATGTAGAAAATTTAGCTGATAAATTAAATGCTTTAGATATTTATCAGGGAACAAATAAAAGTTTTTTAACAATTTATTTGCCAACAATTGCACATCAATTGATTGTTGGAGAATGTTCTTATAATTTTAGATCTCAACAGATGAAAGTACTAAAAATATTTTTTAACTAAAATTTTAATTTAGAAAATTAATATTTAATAGAGATCGGAATTCTGTTCCGCACCGTATTCCGTACCGTAATACCGTATTATACCAATACCGATAAATACCGATCAAATTTAAAATTTTACCGTACCATATTCCATGCAGTATTACCGATACGGAATACCGATAAATACCGAAAAATACGGCCGTAGACGGTACGGTCCGATCTCTAACATTTACTATTAAAAATTGAGTTTGTACCCTTTTCTCGAAAGCTCAAACCCTGGAAATCTGATAACATGTTAAAAGAGCCTTTGAAATGCCAGGTCATGACTTGGTTCTCGAACTTTTGTTCCTTTGGGAGATCCAAGTTGATGGTGGCAGTGTTTTTAATGTGGTCCCTGTGTCCACTTAAAGAGTTTAAACAGGACAAGCAATTTATCCTTTCCTTGTTTATCTAAATTTTATTTAGAAATATTATCAACTTGTATAAAATTAAATAAAAATTAAAAAATTTTTAGACACAAGCTTATTACAACAGTACACTTATCTATTATGATGAATTAGGTTTTATTAAACCAATGGTTCCTTGGATGGTTATTCCAGGAATATTTACAATTATTTCTATAATTTTAAATATTTGTTTAATTTATGTTTCAATTCGAAAAATGTAAATTTTTTTTTTAAAATTTCAAAAAAAAATTTAAAATTATATTTTAAAGTCCAATGGTTAGAATGTGCAATTTATTAATTGTTTTCGATGCTTTTTGTCTAATTTTAGCTGATTCTCCCTGCGCTTTAAATTTTGTAGCTTTAATTTTAAATTTTGTGACAATTGACTGGCGTGTTTGTTTTTATTTTCATTTAATTTCAACAATTGGTTTTTATTCCTCTTTTTTGGCTATTTATTTTATTTCTTTGGAAAGAGCTTTGATTATATTTTATCCAACAAAGTTTGTAGTTTTTAATAAATTATGAAAGATAAATTTCGAAATAAAATAAAATTTTTAAGAATATTTAGTATAGTTAAAAACATTAAAAGTACACCTTACAAATCGGAGTATTTCCATAATTTATGGGTATTTCTCCTCATCCAGAAAGTCAAATAAATTTAATAAATGTACTTAAATTTAGGATATTTTTTGTATTTTATGAATGAGATTCTTTAGTTTATTTGAAAATTAATTTAATAATTAATTTTAAATTTAATAATGTCAAATCTAATTTTAAATTAAAGAATACACACAATCCATACTTCTACAATTCACCGTATTTCCTTTCTAATTTTTATTGTTTGTATTTTGTTTGGTATGATAATGGTATTAATTGAATTTAATGTTTGGACTATACTTAATCTTCCATTTTATAAGTAAAACAATTAAATTATTTTAAAATATTTTATCTTTTGTAGATTATTTTATTGTAATCCTGGTTTATATTCTGATATTTTAAATTCAATTCCTTCCTATTTTATTTTGTCTGCTTCTTCTTTAAATTATTTTTTAATTTATTTTTCAATTTATTGGCGGTATTTAAAATCGGAAGTAAAAAATAATAAAATAAGTAGTCAACAAACAAATAAAATTTCTTCTCCCCCTTCAATTCCCGATCCAAATCTTCGAATTCTTCGTTCAGTTTTTATAATTTCTTTTATAATTATTTTTGGTTGGATATTTGGGGCTGCTGCAAGAAATGTTGTGACAAATTTATGTACAAACATGGCTACAGCTATTTCTAATATTTTTAAAGACGAAAAGGGCAATCCATCAAAAACAATTTCTGATATTATAAATACATATTCGATAACTTTAGTTACTTGTATTAATCCAATTTCTGCTGGAATTAACTCGATAATTCTTTTTACTTTAAAGTAATCACTTATTTTTTAAAGATATATTAAAAAAATATTTTATTAAAGTTCTGAATATAGAAATGCGTTCAAAAAAGCTTTTGGTATTAAACAACAAACAAATACAGTTGCTATTGGACCATATTTTACTAATCAACGAACTTAAAGAAAAACAATTTTAAAAGAAATTTATTTAATTTTAATATTCAAATATTTTTTTATTTTCATTTTATTTTCATTAAAAGTTCAAGATGGAATTCATGAATAATAAGTCACCCCGCTCGAACAAATAATCACTCAAAACTATCATATAGTTTAACCTTCCTGTAAAAGCCGGAGATAAAAATACTTTTTAATACGTGTTTAAAATTTAACTACTAAGTGGGTGGGGGAGGTGTTGCCTAAGCGATATACCCTATTTAATATACACATTAGGGGTGGACAAAACCGTTTAACTAAACGTTAAACGGGTTTCTAAATTTAAGCAAAAATTTCTTTGATCAATTCTCATATCTTATGAGGTATTTGGAATTAATTTTTAAATTAATTTGTCGATCTAAATTTCCTAAAAAGCAAAAATATTTAGACTTGTTTTTACTTTTATTTTTAAAATGTAAATAAAGTCTCAAAATAGAAATACAATGTAAATTTGAGAAATAATAAACATGTAAAAAACAATTTGTAGGTTATGTAAAGTGATAAAATACCCCAAAACAAATATGGGATAAAAATAAAAGGATTAACAAATGCATATACCCATAACAAGATATAACTGAAGATTTATAGAATAAAATATTTTTTAGACTCACTAGTATGTATTTCTAATAATTTTTAAGGAATTTATAAATAATTAAAGAAGTTGTTAGTAGGAGTCAATTGTTAGTATTTGGAGAATCACTCAACGAAAAACAGACGGATTTTGAATAAATTAATAAATTAGATTCTAAATAAATATTCTATGACGAGGTTTAATTTGAATTTACATTTTTATCAATTCAATGATGGAGATGTGTTTGAACTTGTTACACTACCAGATACAAATCTCCGCATACGAGCACTGCCAAAACCTCCTTCACAAATCACCGACCCCATCGTGATTGTCTCAATATTCTCATCTTAAAAATTTAAAATATATTAACTTTAGTCAAATCTTCTATACTTGACATCTGTTGCCGGTCCTCTTTTACAAGTTCAGCAAACATATCAACTTTTGATGGATTTTTTGTCAGATTTAGTGAATTAGTTGATGTATTTATGTTGTCAGAAGATTTGTTATTTACACGACAGAAGAGTTTTCCAGTAACAGAGATGGGCGGTGGACGAGTTTTTGGATTACTAGTTTTTCTTTGTTGATCCAATGGGGGCGAGTAAGCAATAAGAGGCTTAAATTTTAAAAATCAAAAATGTATTTAAATTAACATTAAACACTAATCTATGGATAAAATAACGCGGACACTAATATAGAATATTTATAAATTTTAAAGACTAACCGAATTATCAAGTTGTGATAAACCAGCGGCCACTTTTCGGCCAATACTAATACTTGCGTCACTATCGCATTCTTCAGATTCTGTGTAAATTAGTCCATCAAGTTTGTCCGTCCAAGGCTGGCTGTTTGATCTTTGTGGTGGCGCAATTACAGGTGGAGGAATGGACGGAATTATGTGATGAATAGGCGGCGGAATGTGATGAATAAGGGAAGGAATCCGTGGAAATCGTCTATCATGTTCAACAAAACTAGAAGGGTAACACATTGAACAGAGCTTAGGCCACCAAGGGCCGTCAGGAGAAGCTTTATAGTTATGCCACTTCTCAATATTGTCATGCCATACAGAAATGAATTTGTCTTTTGTATTAAACTAAAGTTTATGAGATTTTATTAACATTTATTTTTAGTTTTACCTGAGCCAAAATTCCATTTTTTATTCGAGTCTCTACAGGATTCCCAATTGCAGAAAGCGAACATATACTAATTTTCTGTCCTAATGCAAGATTGCTAGTGCAATGTCTATGTTCCAGCTTATACCATTTACCAATCTCTGGACTTCCACTAATTCTAAAATTAAAAATACATATGTCAAAATTAAAAAAGGTTAATAAACTTGTTTGGCGGATCTGAATAAACCCGATGAGAGAATTTTCCTTGCTCCTTGTCAAAAAATAAAAAGACTGAATCTCCATTTTGTCTAACAGCCATCAGAACAGCCATAACCATTTCTGATGGACCTTGCTTGTATACAGAAGCGCCATAACTAACAACCTGTCTCTGTTGTGGCTTTACTGATATTTGATTATCCTGTTTTTTATCCTGTTCTTTTGTGTCATTCATGATAATTACTGGAGAAGAAGACTGCGTAGATACATCACAATCATTATTCTTAAGATCTTTTTTATTATTTAAAAAATACTTCAAATCATCGAAAGAAAAAACAAAAGAATCGCGCATTCTCCTTGCAAATTCCTCCAATTCGCTCGGTCTAGATTTATCCTTTTGAAATTGTAAAATATAATGAATAAATTTTTCTCCCGCCGAAACTCTAATTCCTTCGCCATTAATATTATTATTTTCTGTCATACTTCCATTAGTTTTTGTATCTACCACATCAGATAAACCCGGGAAACATTTTCGACATAACCATGGCCACCAACCCATATCCTCGTAATAACAATTCTTTTCCAAGCAGGGGAAGACAGTATGCCATACATTTAGGAATCGATCCTGCTTTGTAGAGAACTAACGAAAAATAAATTAACTATTTTATAGTAGAATAAAAAAAACCTGAGCACAAAGTCCATCTCTAACACGAGTAGTAACAAATTTATCTACTTTAGAATAAGCAAGTATAATAATTTGTGTTTTGTTTTGTGGAATATCCATATACTCCAACTCAAACCACTCTCCAAAATTAAATTCGAAAGAAAGGCTAAAATTGTATTAACAAATTAAAAAAAAAACATTAAAAACCTTTTATGGAATTTAGCATAAGATCTTTGGGTAAATTGACCCGTCTTTGGATTATAAAAAAGAAAAACTGCATCAAATAGAACAGCTCTAACAGTCATCAAAACAGCAACAGTTTTCTTTCTTTCATTTGAAGGTAAATGGAGTAAACTATTATAAATTTCGAAAAATGTCATTAAGTAAAAAATATATATTACTATGTAGAAGGTGAAGATAAATCATCACGATTATCAGAGACATAACCATTTGATTCATACCTTACCAGATCATTACTGTTAGACTTAAATTTTGAAAAATGAACACAATAACAACATAAGACGTAAGGGAATAGTTCGAAAGAAAGGTAGACAAAATATATATCCGAAAAGCACGTGACTTATTCACTCCAAGTAAAAAAGACAGGATTCTCCACTTGAATAAAGTAGTTAGAAAGTGGAAATTAGAGAAAAAATTCAAATGCAAAGATGAGATATAAAAAGAATTGCCCCCTGAAAATAATCAGCTAAAATCCAAGTTAAAAGCTATTGTTTAGACTTTAGGAACTTAACAATGAAGGTATGGCTCCGCTAGCTAGTTCTGAGTTAAAGCTACAAAAAGTAAAGTACCCATAACCAATATAACTGTGTAATACTTACTTTGTTTTCCTTAACAATATCTACAACAGTCCATGCAACCGACCATTTAGCTAAGTGCCAAGTAGGCCTAATTTGCAGTTTCAATGGCATTTTATCATCCTTAAATTGAAATAATGATAAGTTAACGTCATATTAAAACAAAACCTTTTTAGGATCAAATTTTTCTTTGATAATTAGAAAAGGATCCATAAGAATACCCAACCACGAAAGAACATAATGTGAAGTTGTAGATTTACTAGAAGTAAAATCGACATTCCGTAATGTCAATTCAAACTATAAATATAAAATACAAAAAATAATATACCAAAAAAATACCAAATCACTTCTAACTTTTCTTAATTGCAATCGTTTGTCAGAAGAAACATTAACTATTTGTGGGCAATCAATAGCAATAGTAACAGGACAATCATAACAATTAAGCTTGCTTAAAATATTAATATAAAATATTTTAATTAAATTAAAATCTACAATTTCCAATATACTCTACATTCACCAAATAATGCTTTTCGCCTTTCAGGCACAATAGAAACAACCATTTCTGCACTCTTATTAAGCAACATACAACAATAAAAACTTTTTACATCCCAAGGACAAGCAACTTGTTCTACCACAATTCCTTCATCACGCGAAGGTGAGCAGAAAATTGATACAAACGGGTACTGAAAAAGATAAAATCTTTTCTTTTTAAAAAACATATCCGGACAAACTTCTTCATAATTCCAGGGTTTAATTATCCCAACATTTTGAGGTGTCCATTCAGGAAGCACTCCAACTGCATAAGATCTTGAAAAAAAGGAGAATTATTAAAATATAGATATTAATTAATTACAAATTAATTTTAAGAGAATAAAGTTGATCCGAATAAGAACAAAAACCATAGGACCATTTAACAGGTGAAATGAACTAAAATAGTAAATATATTTAATCACTTCGAATAAAACCTCGTTTACATCCGTTCCAAAAAATGGGCAAATTGGAATACCAAGAGAATTTGGGTTCTTCAATGAAGGTGTATGCCCAAATACATCCATTCCTGACAAGTCTGGAACGAAAAATACTGGCAAAACTAACTTAAATTAAAAGATAAAAAGGTAAATATAAAGTTTAAAAAACCTCTATTGTTGTCTTTCCAGAGCCATTTTTTTCAATTTGACGAATCAAATTAGTGGGCACAAAATTGGCAACGTTCTTATAAGATCTTGTTTGCCCATTCTCCTCCTTATACCACTTTCCAATAATAAATTCATCCTCAGATTTACACCGTCTAGTTAAAACACACATAGGATCATCCAAACGTATTAGGTGAGCATAACTAACTTTATTATCTGTAAACCCAACACCCAGACAAAGCACCAAGTCGTTCATTCAGATAGATATCTACAAATAATAAAATAAAACCAGCATCAGCTTTAATGCATTTGTTCTTAACTGAAAGAAAAATAATACAAAATCATTTAAAATCTAAACAAAGAAAGGCATTCGAAAATTGAAAAATCAATTAAATATAAAAAAAATCGAATAAAATGTATGAATAACTCACAAAAAGACGAGAAAAAGCCACTAAAATCAAATTAAGCCTGATTATAACAAGTTGTCAAATTTAACCCTTAGTGGCGAATTGTCCAATTGACAATTATTCAATTTTACCCATATTGGCAAAGTGTACAATGAAAATCGAGAATTTTCATGAAATTTCTTTACTTTTCTGCTTATTTTAGGAATACTTTTGTTGCGATTTTATGACTATTTCTTTAAATTTATTTTTATAAAGGATCAATTTTTAATTTTGTTATTTGGTTTTGTAATTTTATTATGGCTGGAATTGACTTTGGCAATATGAATTGTTATCTGGCTGCGGCCAGAAATAAGGGAATTGGTTATTTAAAAAAAATTTTCTTTATAAATTATTATATTTAGAAGTGTTGATGAATGACTATTCCCTTCATGCTACCCCGTAAGTTTTATAAATATAAGATTATTTCAAAACTATTTTTCTATTATTCATTCTCCCGTTATTCTTAACAAAACGTCAATTATTAAAAAACTGAGAAACAATTTTTTATTTTCCTCAGGTCATGTATTTTGTTCGGACAAACTGCGAGACTGATGGGCTTTGGTGCACGCCAACAATTAAACATGCACTACAAGAACACCGTTTTATACTTCAAACAATTATTGGGAAAGCAGTACTCTGATGAATTTATTCGTTTATTTGGCTCTTCAATTCCCTGCGATGTGAGCTTCTTTAAGAGATAAAATCTAGAAATTTGCAAAATTTAACTCATTTTAGATTGTTCAACTCAAGAATGGTGACATCGGCCTGAAAGTTTGTTTAAATCTTTGATCGTGAAGTCCCTCCATAATGCCATTGATTTTGTTTTTTCATGGGATTTTCCTTTGATCCATTGTTATATTTTATTATGATTTGACATTATACATCCTCATCTCTTTTATTTCGACCAAATTTTAATTCAGGTGATGTATTTAAATGAAGAGAGGATTTTTACACCTGAACAAGTTCTTGCATGTCTTTTCACACATCTTCGACTACTTCTGAGCAAATCTCTGGGATCTGATATTAACGAATGTGTTATGAGTGTATGTTTTTAAATTTTATTATTAAAAATATAAATATCGTTTTTTTCAGGTTCCATTTTATTTTGATGAGAAACAACGTTTGGCTGTTATCGCTGCAGGTCAATAATATATCAATTTTTCTTTAAATTTTTTAGGGAAAATTGCTTCGTTGAAAATTCGGTTAATAAATGAGCATGCTGCTTTGGCCTATAATTATGGGATTTATAAGGGAATGAATTTGCCAAAATCGGAAGAACCACCAAAGATTGTTGCTTTTGTTGACTGTGGTCATTCTTGTGTACAAACATCCTTGATTGCCCTTATTGCTGGAAATGCTAAAGTTTTTTATTTTCTGTGTTTTTCTATTTTTTTTATTCAGGTACTCAGTGCTGCTCACACTTTGGAAGTTGGGGGACATTATTTTGACTTACTCTTACGTGATTATTTTGTTGTACAATTCAAGGAGAAGTATAATATTGATGTAACTAAGAACCCGAGGGCTATGTTCCGTTTATTGGATGAATGTGAAAAGGTTTTCAAATCAATATTTGCTAATTATTTTTTGGTTTTAGCTTAAAAAGCAAATGTCAGCAAATAGTCAAAATATTCCGTTTCATATTGAATGCTTCATGAATGATGTTGATGTTAGTGGAAGCATGCAAAGGTTATAAATAAATTTTTTCTTTTATAATTTATATAAATTTGCTAACATTTAAAAATCTTTTAGAACACAATTTGAAGAAATGGCTCAACACCTTTTTGAGAAAATAAATCTGATGCTTCATACGTTATTTGAGCATGCACAGATAAATGTGGAGGACGTTTCGGATGTTGAAATTATCGGTGGATCTTCTCGAATTCCTCGAATTAAGCAAATTATTGGAGGTTTGACTTCTATCCAACTTCACTTTTACATATAATCTTTTAAGAATTTTTCAAAAAGGAGCCGAGAACTACAATGAATCAAGATGATGCAATTGCAAGAGGATGTGCTCTTCGTTCTGCTATGTTTTACCCCGCCTACCAAATGAAGGAATTTGCCTTAGAAGATCCTTTTGATTTAGTTTTGGAAGCTAGTAAATTGCCTACTGAAAAGTCTGTTGCGGAGCTACTTAAAATTGAGGTATATTATGTATTTAGATAACCATTTTTAGATAGGCCTAATAAAGACTAATCAGAACAATGTTGGGGGGGGGGGGATGATTTGGTTTTTTTTTATTTATACCTCGTGAACAATTTAATCTTAGATATTTCCTTTTGGTTTATAAATTTTTTTGTTTAAGAAAGATATGCAGGCCGCTGATCAAAGAGCTACTGAACGTTCTGATGCAAAGAATGCTTTGGAAGAATATTGTTTTAGAATGCAGCATACTTTTGAAAATACAAAAGCAGTAAATCTTTTAAATATTTATTTGTTTAATTTTGTTTTTAAGTGTGAAGGTAAAGTGACAGAAGACGTGCGACTTTCTTGCCTTAATGAATGTTCTGAAGTATTGGAATGGCTTGATATGAATTCTACTGAATTACAGAAAAAGGTTATAAACTTTTAAATTAATTTTTTAAAATTAACATTTTTTAAGCAAATTGAATGCCGGCATTCTGAACTTGAAAAGTATTGTAAACCAGCTCTTAGTAAATTATTTGCTGTATCTGAAGCGAAGAAAGAAAAACAAGCTGATGTGTCAAAACAAGAAAATAGTAATCAGAATGGAAAGGATCAGCCAAATCAAGGTTATATTTTTAATTCGGAAAGGAGCATGCGAGGTGCGTAGAAAATGTTTTTAAGATATGGCCAACTTTATAAATTATCGCATTTTTCCAACCCTCAGTTTTTCCTTGCATTTTTAATAATTTTTAAAAATTGTTTTTAGATATTGAAGCAAAATGTGAGGATGAGAATGTTGGTAATAAGACAATGGATTCATCCAACCCAAAACCTGAATGTAATGATGCTGAAATGGATTAAGAAATATAAAATATTGATTATATAAAGGGATTCAAAGGGGGAGAGCTTTTTGACCTTTTACAATTTTCTTCATCGTTTATAAACAAATTGAAATGAGTCTCGATAAATTGTTATTTTTTCAAATTTTATGAAAATCTAAATTCTAAGATTGTTGACACGATACCCCTTAGAACATTAACTTTATTATCTTACAGTTTTACTTCTTACCCGAAGGTTTTGTAAGTAAGGGAAGATTAGATAGATGACATTTAAACGTTTTAGTGAGTTTTATGGTTTTTATAATCATATCCTCTGAAGCGACTAGCGATTACGGGGGTTGTATGTTGCTTTCCTGTCTGGCAAAAAATTTTGTTCATAGTGGTGTTTAATAAATTTTTAATGGCTACTGATTAAATATTTCATTCTCGCATTTAAATACATAGTAATTTAAACAAGTTAATTTACAAATGTCAAGGTAAAAGTTAAGATATTAATGTCTAAGTTTCTCATAGTTCTATGTAGTAAAAATAAAAATTTTAGTCGTCTGATTTATTCTGTAACTATCTGTAGATAACTAGTAATTTTACGTTTTTATTTTTTGGTTAAGTTATAATTTAAACGTGAGTAAATAAAAAAATATGTTTATCTCCATGACAACTTGAGTGCTAAATTTTTTGTTTAAAATCTTTGTTTTAACTTTAAATTCTTGTATGTATTGTTAAAAAATCGCAAAAAGTATTTCTAAAAATTCGAATTTCTTTAAAATATGGAAATTGTTAATCAGCCTGGTACTGCACTTGTATTGGAGCCGGGTGGACTTGATGCTCCTTCTATAGGAAATAATAATGTAGAGGAGATACAGTGCCAAGAGAATATTAATGGAGGTATGGAAAATAATTTGGAAGTATTTTTCTCCTTTATTTAAAGTTTTGTAAAGTTTTTGGTCCATTTTTTTTATTTTTTCATCTCTATGATTCAAGTTTTTGTGCCTTTTAGTATTCCTAAATTCTCGGCAAGAATATTCTCGTCAGACTCCATAATCAGTGATGCGGAAATTCCAAAATGTGCCCGGTTCCGGTTCTGGAACCGCTCTTTCAATTTTGCCCGGTTCCGGTTCTGGAACCGCTTTTTTAATTTTGCCCGGTTCCGGTTCCGGTTCTGGAACCGGTTCCAAACCGGTTCCGGTTCCGAAAAATTTTGGCTTTAACTTAGTATAGGTCCACTGAGATCCAAACTGTAAGTATATATCATTCAATTCGTCTCTTCGAGCTGAGTTCAAATATGCAAGAATTTCTTGCAGGAGACGAAAACTCGCAGAGATATAGGCCTCCGAAAATCGAAATCGAAAAAGGGACCAAACATTTTTGGGTGACTCGAAAATTTCGGATCCGGGTCAGGGTGGACGCAATTGAACAACAACAATTAAACGGAAAACGGGGTTTAAACGCCGCAGGCGAGAATTTGTTAAATTTGGAAGGACAAGTCACCAGATTTCTTCCCTTTTCTGCGCCGCAGGCGAAAATTTTAAGGATTTTGGAAGGCCAAGCACTAGATTTCTGCCCTTTTTAAGCGCCGCAGGCGAAAATTTTGAGAATTTTGGAAGATCCTTAAACCAAAAATCTTCATTTATTGCGCCGCAGGCGAAATTTTTGAAAATTTAAAAGTCATAGCAAAAAAATTCATGTATTTAAAAATATGACAAAATTTTTTGTTATAAATAAGTTCATAATAATCTATTTCCTGAAGAAAAACAATTATTTTGTCATTCATTAAGTTCGGTTCGAACCTCACACAATGATAATTCCTCAAAACTATGAACCTAACACAATATCCATTCAACCACACATCTTTTGAATGAAAAATAAAGATAATCTTTTTCACTCGTCTCAATTTTCCCTTCCTTTTCTTCTCACTACTCCCATCTTTTGCCCATTTCTCTGATTTTACCCATCATTAGGGGTGTATCTTTGGAACCGGTTCTGGAACCGGTTCTAAACCGGTTCCGGACCTTTACCGGTTCCACGGTTCCGGTTCCAAACCGGTTCCGGGCCTTTACCGGTTCCACGGTTCCGGTTCCAAACCGGTTCCGGACTTTTACCGGTTCCACGGTTCCACTTCCGGAACCGGAACCGGAACCGCACCGGTTCCGGAACCGGAACCGGAACCCCCGCATCACTGTCCATAATGAATATTCTTAGAAGGGGAGACTGTACTGTAAAAATAAGAATTAATACAAATTTAGATTAAATGAGATTAGTAAAGTTAACAGTAATCTAAATGTACCCTTAATGTACCCTTAGCCCTTAGCTCTCCCTAAATTATATAATAAAGAAAATGCCGAATAAAATATTTAAGAAAGTCACCCTGTTGTAATTCCAACTAATCCTGAACAACAACGTGAGGCTGATGAAGAAACAATACAAATTGACGAGGAAGAAGATGAGGCCCGTAGCCGCGTTATTGTTCATAGACGAGTAACTAGAGGTGGTGGATTTTTTTCTCGTCGAAAGGATAATATAATAGCAACAAATAATGAAGAAAAAAATATTGAAAGACAAAATGGAAAAAGTAATATTGAATGGCAACCGTCAGCAACAAATGTAAAACCTGGATATTCGAGTTTTAAAAGTGGTATAATTAAATTAACACCAGAAAGCTTGAAATGTAAATTATATTGCAGGTAAGAAATTGAGAGGATTTTGAGAAGAAAAAATTATTTTGAGTTATAAAATTTAAATTAAAATATGAAAAAATCAAGTGTTTAGTTGTCGAGGGGGTTAATAAGCTTTTTCTCAAGTTAAATGATAGAAAAAACTAAAGTGACTGAATTTTTATCAAAAATTAAACAAAAATTGCAGTAAATATCCTAATAGAAGCCCATCTCTAATAGAAGCCCATACCTAATAGAAGCCCACTCGATGAGGGAGTATTGAGAAATACAAGCCCAGGGCTTCTATTAAGATACATATTTACGGTATTAATAATTATTGTCTTCGGACAAGATAGCTTCTACTAAATTCCTCCCCAATTAAATAATTTCACCTAATAAAAATAATTTTTAAAGAGGTTCAAAATGTATTTATTGCAATCCAGAAAATTGGAATGAAGAACAACAAGCAATTCGCGGTGTTTATTCTAATTGGTTTGTGTGTCTCTTTTTTTTAAATTAATAATTTTTATTTAATAAAATTAGGATAGATGAAAATATTTTAGCTATGGCACGTCCAACAGAGAGAACATTTAATGAATTTAATTTAATAGAACAATTTAAAAAAGAAAAAATAAAAACTTTAATAAATCTTCAATGTGTTAATGAACATGATTTTTGTGGTCCCCAATTAATTACTCATACGGGGTTTTCTTATGACCCAGAAATTCTTATGAGTAGACAAAGTTTGTTTTTTAAATAATTAAAAGAAAAAGTTTCTCTTAAAGTTTATTATTATAATTTTGGAATTCCTGATTTTGGTACAATTTCTGTTCATTCAATTTTAAATATTGCTAAAGTTATTTGGTTTTCACTTAAAAAAGGTGAGAGAAAAAAGATTTTTTAATAGAAGGAGAGTTGACAGAAATTTATTAATACATTGGAATCCCCCTAATGGTCACTCTCGTGACCGATGTATCTATGAATAGGAGATATATTAATGAAATTCCCTGTATATAAATATTAGAAAGGAAAACCGTATTAAATGTTTTCTAAAGATTCCTATGATTAAACTAATGACTATAAAATATATAAATTATTTTTAATATAGGCCGTGTAGCTATTCATTGCCACGCTGGTCTTGGTTTGTTTTAAGTTGATTTAATTAAATATTTACTTATTTCTAGGTAGAACAGGCACATTAATTGCTTGTTTTTTAGTTTGGGCTAAAGGGATAAGTACTTCTGAAGCTATAGATTTTGTACGTAATGCAAGGTAGTGTTTAAAAATTTATAAAAATGTTGGCCTTTAATTTTATTAAAGGCCCAACTCTGTCCAAAGTTTGGAACAAATAAATGCAGTTGAAGGTAGTAAAGAATTATTATTTTAAATTAAAAAATAATTTTTAAAAGAATTTTCTTATCATGTTTATAAAAACGGCACAGCTTTGCCTAATTCTTTATTTATTTCAAATAATGGAATGATTAGTTTAAGACAATTAATGACACGTCAAAGACAATTTCTCCCAAATGAACAGGCACGTAGATTTGCTCACATTCCAAAGGTGTTTTTTTTTGATTATATTGAAAGTTTTCTATGACTCTCAAGAGGAAAAATGAATTTTGGTGTAATATTTTAGTTGACAATAAGGTATAGACAATAAAGTAGGGGTCGGACACTTGACAAGTGAATTTTGACTAGAATGACCAAATTTTGATCATATTCTCGATTTTTACCAATTCCTACAATAAAGGGTACATGTGCCCCGTTAAATGATAAATAACATCATGCCCGTTCATGTATAGAAATAAAATTATTTATTAGCTACTTTACATGCTTGGAGATAATCTTCTTCGAATGGTTTTTGGACCTCAAGGAATCTATTATGCTCCTTTAACTGATAAACAACACCATGCCCGTTCATGTACTTTTGGAACAATTCATGTAAATTGGAGAAATGCTTTTACACCCAAAGGGTTTTTTTAATTAATTTAAAAATTAAAAATATGTATTTTTTAGAAAATTACAAGTTCGTCAAGTAGTTAATTTATTTGCTCGTTGTTCGGCATTTCCTTATGAAAAAGATCAAAATTTAATTGGAAAGTTTCAACAAATTAGTTTGGTTACTATTGACTCTCTAATTAAAGAAATGGATATTTCACAATTGGTAAGGGAGGGGGTTATTTTAAATGTTTGAAAATCACAAAATTTTTTCTCAAAAGATTTCTCTCTTAAATGCTTTTTTGGAATCAATTAAAAGACCTTATTGTTCACGTCGTGTATTAATCGAAGTATTAGGCCAATTCTCTCCTGATAATCCAATTGAACCAATTAATACCCAATTAATTGAGGAAAATAATAAAAATGAAGAAAATTTAAGTAAAAATGTAGAGAATGAAACGATTAAACAAATTAATGAAAATTTAAATTTGGAGGAATCTAAAAATGAAGAGGAGGAGAAGGAGAAGGAAGAAGAACAAAAAGAAATGGTAATTTAATTCCTTTCCTAATCAAATCAGGCCAAAATCTTCTAATTCCATTCATTTTTTTCTTTTTTTAGTTGCCATCCACTAGCAATGATAATGAAAATGAAATTAGTAGTGATAATAAAGAAATTGATGAAATTACTAAACAAATCGAAAATAAAACTCTTATTAATGTAATGGTAATTTAATTCCTTTGGGGAGTTTTTACCAAAATATAATCTGTACTTTGAAAAAAAATAAAAAGGAATTTGGGTAATTTAAAAATCTGAAAAATTATCTAAATTAATCCCCTAAGCAAATCAGTCCAAAATCCATAAAATCTAGTCCAATTAATTTTTCTCTTTTTTAAGTTGCCATCCACTAGTAATGATAATGGAAATGAAATAAATAATAATAATCAAGAAATTGATGGAATTACTAAACAAATTGAAAATAAAACTCTTATTAATGTAATTGTAATTTAATTCCTTTGGGGAGTATTTACCAAAATATAATCTGACTATGAAAAAAAAGAATAAAAAGGAATTTGGGTAATTTAGAAATCTGAAAATTATATGTAAATTAATCTCCCAATCAAATCAGTCCAAAATTTATAAAATCTACCATAAAATCTAGCCCCTTAATTTTTTTTTAGTTGCCATCCACTAGCATTGATAATGGAAATGAAATTAGTAATGATAATCAAGAAATTGATGAAATTACTAAACAAATTGAAAATAAAACTCCTATTAATGTAAAAATTTTTCTTATTATTTACCCGATTACCTATATTTATTCCAAAAATAAAAAATAAGTTTAGAAAGAACATATAATCCCTTGGAAAATCTGGAACTAATCCAAAAAACGTTTAAACAAAAATTTAATAAATTTAGGAGATATCGGATGAGGCTGCTAAAAATGGGAGGACATCACTCGATGAAGAACAAAATTTAAATGTAATTACTGGTAAATAAATAAAAAATATATTTAATTATTTTTAACTTCAATTTAAAAGAATTACCAAATAAAAATAAATTAGAAAAAAATTCAAAACTTTCAATATCTGCTGGAAATTCAATTGAAAGGCCGACAACAATGGATACAGAATATGATAGTTATTATGACAATAATAATGAATTCTATTTATTTGATATTCAAGATTTACACACAAATAAAGATGCTAATTTATATGCGGTAAATATTTAAAATAAAGAGGGAGGGATATTAACAAATACTCTAAATAAATCACTAATGGTTTTCAAAATCCAAACCAGAAATTATTAAAATAATTCTTCTGGTTTTTTCATTAATTAAAAATTAAATACTTTCCAACCAACAAACATATTGCCTTTAATCGAATGAGCGGCCATTTTATTTTTCAATCACCTCCTAAGCGGAGTAGGGCATTTTATTAAAAGTTACACGGTATTTGTTAGTGTTTCACTGGTACCGAAATTTTGACCGGAACCGGATTCAATTTGAGTTCCGGTTCCCGTAACCGGAACCAAAAACGCCGGAACTTTCCGGAACCGGAACTTCCGGTGAAACTCTAGTATTTGTGATATCTGTTCAATTAAATATCCTTTTCCTAATAATTACTCTACTCTAAATTAATTTTATTTTAAGGACTGGCAATGTATTGTATTTTATGTTTGTAATATTTTAAGTTATTTAACTGGTTAATTTTAAATTATTTCTTAATTCAAAATATTTTTAGGAGAAAATTATGATTCTGTTGTTGATTTATTAACTTTTTGGTTTGCTGGGGACAGCAATAGAGATGTTAAACAAGCAATTTAGTTAAATATATAAATAAATATTTATTTATTTTTAAAATTATTTTTAAGTTGTCATATGCGGGATTTATTTGCAAGAAATATGCGTCAACAAGAGCAACAAGCAACTGCTTGGAGGCAAAGAATGGGATTACCTGAGAGACTTAAAAATTAAATTTAAAAATATTTTTATTTATTTTTCATAATTAAAATTAAATTAGAGGTTTTTATAGAAAAATTATTTAAAAAAATTTAAACATTTCAAAGAAACTTTTTTTGATAAAAATATTTAATTCAATCTTGAGTTTGCAGCGCAGTGTTTCCTTTTGCAGCGCAGTGTATCCTTTGAAATCCCCGATATCTCACAAATTCACTTATCTCTTTCAATCCAGCCAAATTTGTTGATTTCCTCATTAATCTCCAAATTTCCGATATTTCTTATAATTGCGATACGAAAAAATGAAAATTTTTGGACGCGGCAGGTTGAGCAGAGGTTAGAATATCGACACTCCCGGATTGTCCATTGATGGACGTCCAGTCCCGACATAAAAAATATTAATTTGGGAGTTAAAAACTCCCATTCAAAAATATAAAACAAGATGTTCAAGAGGGGGTTGAATTATCCTGATAGGAAAATATTCGTAAAAAGGAAAAAATTGTTAATAAATATTAGATATTTAGCAAACAATAGTAAGAGAACAATAAAAATAAACATTATTTTCCTCTTCTTCTTTATACTTTTTTTCTCTTTAGTTAACTATTTATTTTCCTCACAGTCTCTAATCTGTACACTTTTTTCCCTTTCTAATTTTCGAGAGAATTTAATTGGCGCTGAAACGACCTTTGGTTGGTGGTCAGGAATATTTTTTTGAATTTTTCCTGAAAAAGGAAATTATAATTTTCTCGTTACAAAAAATTACATAAATCCTTTATAAAAAATTTTCTTTTACAATTTAAAAAATATTTTTAGAAAGCAGCAAATATTTAAATTAATTGAAAATAAAAAAATATCAAAAATATAAAGAAATTTCTTTAAAATACCTATTTAAAATACATAGTAGATGTGAGGAATTAAAAAAACCGCAGTGTAAAAATTTATTGGATTTTAATTCACAATGTTATCCAACAAGAAAAAACAAGAAAATATTTTTCACAAAAAATATTTAGCTAATAATAATTAAAATATATTTAAATAATTAATATATTTCTTTAAAATCTATTTTTAATCATATTCCCCACCAGCCATTAATTCCCAAAATTCTAAAAATTAAAATAATTATTTAATTTCATTTCCATTCAATTACCCTCAAATTCAATTTTCCCCGATCCATCCTCATCTATTTCATCAACAGCATCATCCAATTCTTTATCACTAAGATCAGGGGCTATTTCATGTAAAAGTTCTTTTAATGTTCCAGTAGAAATATATCCATAACCCTTTTTAATTTTAATTTAAATATTTATTTTAATTTATTTACTTCTTTATCAAACAATCTAAAAGCTTCTTTTAATTCATTTCGAAGTGTCTCTTTATCTACACTATTTGCTACTGTATAGACTAAAGCACAGAATTCATCAAATTCTAATTTTCCAGAACCATCAGCGTCGAATTTTCGAATTAATCTTTTTTTTTAAATAATGAAAAATAATTTTTAAATAAATTTATTTTGAATATTAAAAAATTGTTTTATGTGTACTTTTCTTGCCTCATTTTTTTTATTAATTCTTTTTTTGCGAGCAAAAAACTCAAATCTTCTGGATTTTACTTTTTTATGGATTTTTTAAATATTTTTTTCTAATTTTTTTCTATAAAAATTACTTTCTCAAAGTTTTTTCATCATAATCCTGCTCCATAACATCCATTATTTGGCTAAGTTGTGTAGCCATTATATAACCATTCTTACCTTTATCGAACAAATCAAAAAAGTGTTGATATTCTAAATTGAGAGAATAAAATATAAAATGAAATTCAGGAAAGTAAAGATGAATTATGGACGGAGTTTTTAAATAAATTTTAGTTTTTTACAAAAATTTTAAAACCTTCAATTTGGTCTTCATCAATTTCTGCTAATATTTCCTCAATATTTTCAGCCTAAATTTTTGTTAAATTTTAAATTTATAATAAACGATTTTACACAAATTTACCATTCAAATAGAAAAAAACAAATAGATTATTTGTAGATTAGAGAATATTAAAAGAATTAATAGACAATAATTAATTATCAAAACACAAAAGAATTTAAAAAGTTGCTTTGACTAAAGTTTTATTTTAGAAAAAGCTTTTCATTTATTTACTTTATTTTATCAAGTATTAGTAACTCTTTGTTTGTTTGACAATCATACTTTTTCAAAAATATATTTAGAGAGATGAAGAACAGCTGGAAGAGGGAAAGAATAGTATCTTTCAAGATTTGCGCAATCACTTTAAAGTATTTAGTAAATGGGGGATAAGTATTTCTTCCTTAAATTAAAGCAAAAACTGATATATTTTTAGTGTAAGAATAATGGTGAAAGATTTTATAAGATCGACAGTTTTACTATAGTAAAGGTTTAGTTTTAATAAAATAATTTAATGACGGGAAAGACTTAGAAATAAATTTGGTGATAAAAGAATAATTACCTAATTTAATTTCTAAGTGGCAGTACAAGATGTTAGATGGTATGAAGATTTGTTTCAAACAAGTTATTGTTTAACTTGAAAATAATTAATAAAATACTTGGTATGGATTCGAAGTCAACCCAAATACAAAATTTAATAAATTCCACGGCTCTCAGCCAATTAAATTTTGAGAATATTCAAATAATTTGTACGAGGAAAAGTTTTAATCCAAAAAATATCAATATAGCAGAAAACATTTACATACAATAAAGAAAAGAACAAAAGAAATAAGTAAATACTCGCAATGACCAAAATCGAATTAAAAATAAATTAAAGGCACCCAAAGGGGAAAGATAACATTTTAAAAAAATTAATTTAGAAATAAAAATTAGAGTAAATTATGCTTAAGAATATTTTTCTGTCCATTCCCATTTTTGATAAGCATTAGCAGAATCACATTTTCGTAAAATAAGTAAACTAGAATCCTTTTCTTTATCGGCTGTTAAACAAGAATCAGAACTTGCAACACGAATTTGTTTTGTTTCCTAAATTTTTTTTTGAAATTTTTCAATAAATATTCAAAGTTATATGTATATTGCAAAAATAAGGGTGAAAAAATCTAAAAGCGATCAATACTAGGTTTGAGATATCAAAACCCTGTCTGGCATAAGTATGAGATAAATAAACTGGAAACAGAATTTTAGTTTTCATACATAGTACACTTTTTCATAAAAAAAAGAATTATTAAAATTATATAAACTTACCCTATTATAACTAAAAGGTCCTTCCACTTTTCCCTTTGGGCAATAACCACTATGTATCCGTCCTCCCCAACCACTTGAAGGGGTTAAACACCACTCTCCTTGTGTCATTTGTCCTTTTGTATTTAATTTTACAAGTTGATTCCCTCCATAACCATGACATGGTGTAGCACCAATTACTCCAGAACTTCCTTTCCCCATTGTATCAATACACTTATCTATTTTTAAATTAATTATTAAATAATGTTAAATAGTATTTACCTGATGCATGATTTTTAGCTTCTCCCCAAACATCATTCGGTGGAGGTAAAGGAAAATCATTAAAAACATCATAAGCAACATTATCCATAAACCATTGAAAAGATTTACATTTTAATTGCTCGCGTAAAGCAAGTTGTTTAGAAATATCGCCAGGTTGACGATATAAGGCATTTGGTTCTCTAATAAAATAATATTTTCCATAATCATCCATCCAAGTTTTTATTACACGAAGAAGATTCTTTAAAAAGATAAAAATTATTAAAACAAAATTTTTAAACTTACAGTGGAAATAACCGGCTTTCCAGATAATTTACCAAAATTATAAGGCATATGGTGTCTATAAACATGCCCCACATGAGAACATGGTACAAAAAGAATTCCGCCTCCACATTGCCAAATCTAGAAATTTTTGTCGATTTTAAAAATTAATTCAAAAAACCTTAAAAGACAATTCATACTGCTCTCCACCCCAAATTTGTAATCCAGGATCATAATATCCAAGTTTTTCAAACCATTTTTTGTCTATTGCAAAAAGTCCTCCAGCATGTGTTGGAGATCTTTACAAATATTTTAGAGAAGCTTAAATTTAAAAAAAACCTAAAAGGTTCACTATCTTTTTGTCGATGCTTCTTTTCTCTTTCAGGTAAAGCAGTTTCTTTATATAACAATCCCCATTCAAAAATTCCACGAAAATGTCTATTTGCTTCTCCATAAACACGTTTATATTCCCATGTATTCATATCAATACCATCAATAACTGGAACTGTCATAACCTTCCTAAAATTAAAGAAAATAATAAACAGAAATTATTTACAAGGGAACATTCCGAACTGTGACCAAAAATTTTTAAGTAACAGTTCGGAAGGTTCCCCTGTTAGAAAGAATTTTTAATCAGGCTTTGTAAAATTATCGTTTTCCCTACATTTTCATTCTATCGTAATTTTTTACAATCTGCAACATGTTTTTGCGTTACAAAGAAACGGACAATACGGAATTTTCCAGAAAAAATTACATGACCTGTGCCAATTAGCACATATTGTAACCTAACAGCACCAATTAGTATTTAAAAATAACCTATTTTTTCTAATTGGTGCCAACAAAGGGGGTAACCAATTCCTATTAACTTCACAATGTGCATCCAAAAAGATAACAACATCAGCAGAAGCTGCTTTTGCCCCAATAGTTCTTGTATTAATTAAACCTTCACGTTCTTTATTTCTAACCAAAATAACTTTTCCATTAAATTGTTTAATATATTCATCTAATTTTGTTTTTAAATGTTCTAAAAAGAATTTTTAAAATTAAATTTAAAAAAACCTTTATCGCTGGCATCATCAACCAAAATTACTTCTTTTAATAAATGAGCGGGACTACGCAATAAAACAGAATGGACAGTGCGGAGTAATGGGGACCAGCCTTCATTGTGAAAAGCAATAACAACAGAAGCACTAGGCAAATCTTTAAAAGAATTTTATTCAAAAGGTAAGTAATCATTTTTGTGTAAGGAAAATCCAATTGCTAGCAATTGAACCGATGCATGCATGGTAGCTAAATTTTTAGTCTTAATCCTGCTTATGAAAAATGATCATTGGAAAAGAAGGAAGCGAAATTTCAAAACTTCCTTTAATTTTTCTTTTTTATTTCGATTCAATTAAAGATCTTTTGTTGGAATAAAGGGTTTTTCAATATTAAGAAAATAAAAGACTTGCCGGGGAATTTTAAGTTTTAAAAATATTTTAATCAAAAATTAACCTTCCGGATAATGCCAATATTTACATCTAAAAATATTTTTTGTTTAATTTTATATATCCAAAAAACAACTAACTCTTCAATACGAACATCAGGAATTGATCTATTCAATCTTGTTTTATCACTAGCAAAAGTGTTAAATCCAAATTCAGAAATTGCTTTTTGGACTTCTGGAGAATTTAAATTTGTCATTATTGGTTTTCCCTCTTCTCCTTTAAAAATTAATTTTATTTTTAATTAATTAACTTTTAAAAAACCAGGAGCATTAACATCATCTGATGGAAAAACTACAGGAATTTGTTCAAAATTTCCAATAATTCCCTCCTTAAAAATTGTAGCAGGGTCACGACCTCCTGGCAGTTCTCCAGAATTTTCTGAGTTTTTCTCATCCGAAATAGATTTTTGATTGACTTTTTTGTTTATCTTTTGAAAATCCTAAAAATAATAAAATGAATCTTTAATAAAATATATAGTTAATATTAGGGTAGGACAGGCCCGTAGTCAGGGGGTAGGGGGAACCGAGGTCTTGAAAAACCGAGGTCTTAAAATTTGGATTAATCAAAAACCCAAAAACCGGTGGTACCGGTTAATAACCGGTTGCGTCCTACCCTAATTAATATCCTTATAAAATCCTAATTAGAGTAGCTGGTTTTAATTAGGCATTTTAAAATCTTAAATATTACTTTTAAAAAATTATTAAAATACCTTCTCTCCATTATTCAAAGAATCAAGTTTATCATTTCCAGAACTGATGAAAAAAATAAAGCCAATAACAGAGATCAAAAATATTAAAAGAGAAAAAGGTCTAAAAATAAAATTTTAAATAAATTTAAAAAATAAATTAACTGTTTGTTAATAATCCTCTTAAATTCAAACCAACGTCTTCTCAGCGACATTATAAAAAATAGGAAGATTTATTGAAGCTCATAAATAAATTAAAATCTAAAATAAAAGAAAGTTTTAAAAATTTCTCGTTCCTATCGATTTATTTAAAAAATGTTTATATGAGTGCCACGTAATAAATGAAATGATAAATAAATTCTTTGTATTTTACCAAATTTATGAAAAAATGAAATAAACATTGAGAGAAATATGCTAAGTGTAAGGTGAATTAAATGTTTGAAAAACCTTAAAAAGAAAACACGTAGCATGTTCAATATGTAAGCCTCAAAAAAATATAGTATGTACACTATCCAGAGTGTGTGGAGCAGGGCAGTCCGCAATTGCGGACTGCGGATTGGTGAAATTGCGTGTTTTTGGACTTGTGGACTGCGGCTACGGATTTTAAAATTAAAATTGCGGACAGCGGATTAAAGCTGCAAAAAATTTTTTTCAATGGTGTGGGTTCGTGAACAACTGAGCGCCATCCAAATCTTTTTTGGTTAAAATTGAAATCCAAATCTTTTTTGGATGGCGCTCAGTTTTTTTTTAGCCTGATCTAATCTGACAAAAGCCTTTGATAAACGCTATCTTTTTTCCAACTGGAAGGATCAATGAGGCCAAATGAATTGAAGTCAACACTCTCAATTTTAGCACTCAACTGACCTTTACACAGATTTTTTGAATTGACAATTTGATCAATTTTACCCAAGCGATCTTTAAAGGAATCGACATTTTGACCCATTCTGGCCTTTCGATATTTTAAGCGAACGATCTTTTAGGCAATCGACCTTTTGTTCTCTAGTTTTGTACTTTTAAAATTTGACGTAAAAGTGCATTCATTTTCTTTAAATTGTTTAAATTAAATTAATTGATTCGTTTTAACCACCATATTCTTTTTTTTTTAATATTTTAAAGTTTTTAGTAAAAATGGAGCCACCAGTAACGGTTAGCTCTACAAACCTTCAAAAATTTAAAGGACTTTGTTTTACAACTCTAATAATAATTTCTTCATTTCTTGGAACTATTTATGTTTTAATACCTCTAACGCCATTAGCCTGTAAGTTTTGTTCATTAAAAATTAATTTTTCTATTTAAATTTTAGATTTTAATCCAAAACTTTTTCGTTTAATTGTTGACTTTCTTATCGGATATTGGCTTGTACTTCCCACAGTATTTATTTTAAATTTTTAAAATTTAATTGTTATTTCTTTAGTCATTGGTGGAGTGGTTGTTTGGGGTGCGAATTCAGGTACTTGGTGATGGTATTGACCCAAAAAGGTGAAAATTATTTTATAAAATTGGTTGTTGGTTTTGAAAGAATTGGTTAAGTATTTAAAATACCTACTCGCGCCAGAGGCGTTTGACTAGAGACGAATAAGAGATTGACTAACCGAAAGAATACCCTTTTGGCAGTGTAATTTATAGAGAGCGAGATTTGCAAAAAAAACCTTGATCTTGATTTCGGTTGGGTACTATTATATATCCCTAACCCCTTTTTCAGGGAGTTAGTCGGCGTTGGGCCCCAAGAGTGGAAACCCACCCTTGGGGCGCGCCGATCCACCTATTAAAAACGAAGGCCTTCTTTTTAACTTTTTATTTAACAAATATATTTAATAAATAAAAGGGAGAGAGGACAGGCCAACTTTTGATCGGGCCCAAAAACTAATTAATGAGTGAATAAGTTGATTTGGCCTATTCTCTCTCGCCTTTTATGAGGCGCTAAAATGGGCGTTTCATAAACTTAACTATGACAGGTACCTTGACCAGATTCTTGACCTTGGTTCAAGGAAAAGTCAAGGTGCCTTGATCTGAACTCTGGATCCAGGAAAAATCGAGTCTGGATCCAGATCCAGCTCGCTTCTTAGTAATTTATAAGCTGATTTAGACTAAAATACAGACCTAAGGATTAAAAATAAAACTTTCCTTTTTTATTATTTTTTAATTTATAAATTAACAAAAAATTCCAATTCAGGCCAAGTCTTATAATTATGAATCACCGAACTTGTTTGGATTGGCTTTTCTTTTGGTGTGCACTTTGGCGTATTGATCCTAGTTTAATTACGACAGAAAAAATTGTTTTAAAAGGAGAAGTAAAATATTTGCCTGGTGCAGGTATTTTTTAAAAAATTTTCTCAGAAAATTTTTTAAGGGTGGGCAATGGCATATAATGCTTTTCTTCTTTTGGATAGAAATTTCCTTACGGATAAGGCTCGTATTGAAACTTTTGTCGAATATTATGCTCGAATGGATCGAAAATATCATGTTTGTTTAATTTTTAAAAAATAATAATTCTTTTTTTTTAATTTTAAGCTGTTGCTGTTTCCTGAAGGGACGGTATTTTTTGTAATTTAACCAAAATTTTTTGTCAATTTTTAAAGGATAAATGTGCTAGAGCAACCGAGAGAAGCAATAGTTTTGCAAAGAAAAATGATTTAGTCCAATATGAATATTTATTGCATCCTAGGACACTTGGATTTGTTTTTTTGTTACAAAAAATGCGAAAAGGTTTGTTTGCTATTATTTTTAAATTTATGTTATTTTTTTATATTTTTCTAGAAAAATGTGTTGATTATATTTATGATGTTACTGTTGGTTATGGCGACCAAATTGTTCAATCAGAAACTGATTTGGTTAATTAATAAATTCTTTTAAAATTTTATTAATTTCAACATTTTTAGGTTTTGCGCGGAATGTGTCCAAAAGATGTTCATTATTTAATCCAACAAATACCTGATTCTTCTTTGCCAAAAGATGATGAACAATTAGAGAAATGGTTAAAAGATAAGTGGGCGAAGAAAGGTTTAAATTGATTTTAAAAGGAAATTAATTTTGAATTAATTTTTAGAGAAAATTCTTCATAATTTTTATAAAGAGAAGGGATTTCGACGTCAAAATGGTTGGTCATCTCAATTTAAGAATTTTCAGGTAAATTTATATTTTTGATTTTTTTAAATAAGAGTTGTTTAAATTAAAAATTAGTTTTTTCTGATTTTGGAGACAGAAATTAATTTTAATTCTTTTAAAGTTAACTCCAAAACTTAAATTATTGCAAATTGCCGTTGTTTGTATTTGGTTGGCAGCCACATATTTTTGGTTATATTTATTTGTTAGCTTAAATCATCAAATTTGGTATTCGCTTTTGGCTCTAGTGGTTAGTTTTTAATTTTTAAATAAATTACGAGAAGTTTATTTCGGCATGAAATCTGGCATTTTGATTGAAATATATTTATTTAATAAAATATATTCTAAATTCAAAAAAATATTTTTTAGTCAATTGTTGGTCTACAAATTTATTATAATGGTTTTGAAATGTTTTTGGCTCGTTTGTCTATTCGGTGATTAAATATAAATTTAATTTAAGTTAATATTAATTTTTGTTATAACCTCTTGATAGTTTGGTTGTTGATAAATAATTGTTTTGAATTTAAATTAAATTTTTCTGGATTTTTAAGAGATCAAAAGCAGGTTATGGGGTTGTTTTATTGCACCAGAACTTGCTTTTGAGAAAAAAATTTGTTATTAGAATAATTTCAAAAAAATCCTCTTATTTTTTGTCAACAACCATTCTTTCTTTTCTCTCTATTTTTTAATAGGTAATTACTTTAAAATAAGCATTTTTGATCTTCTTTCTATTATTTTTTTCTTTCTATATATAATTATTTGTTTTTAAATATGCAAATAATATTTAGTACCAAATAAGGCTATAAAAATGTTTTTTTTTCTTTTTCTAAAAACTTTGCTCATATGTATTTTTTTTATATAAATAAAAATTAATTTTTAAAAATTTTTTTATTTAATTAAAATATCTTAGGATTTTTTAAATTTAAGCTCTTAATTTTCATTAAAAAATTATTTAGAGAAAATGACTTCTCTTGTTTCTTACACTAATTTAAATATTCTCCAAGAATAATTTAATAAAAAAATTTCCAAAATAATCCAAATTTATCAATCTTTTACTTTATGAGTTATTTTTTATTCTCTTCAAATTAAGATAAAATTTGAAAATTAAAAAATTAATTTTAATTCTTCATTTAAAAATCAATTTAATTTTTCTTCGCACATTCAGCTACACCATTAGTAGTACAATCTATGCATTTTTGTTTTGTTGCGCCAGAACCTGATTTTGAGAAAAATCCGTCTTTACATTCTTTCTTACATTTTTTATTTGTACATTCAACACATTTACTTGCACATTTTGTAAAATTGGAAATATTTGTAATTAATTTTTTTATTTTTTAATAAAATAATTATCAATAAATATTAATTTAATCAATCACATTTATTTAAACAAAAGTTTAAATTATTTAAAAATATTTTTAAAATAATTAAATTTAATTTTAAAACTCCTTATAAACTCTTTAATCTAAATAATCATTTATTACGCCTTAATACTTACAAATTTTTATTATTTTTTACTCCTTAAGAAAAATTTAGAAATAATTATTAAAATTATTTTTTGATTCTTAGCCAACTTTAAAGAAAATAACCAAATCCCCCCAAAAAATATTATAAATTAATTTACTTTATTTTTCGATATAAATTTAAGAAATAATTGAATTTTTATACGCTCTGACAAAAAGGTGCTCAATTTTAGCAGTGGTTAGCAGTGGTCTAGTGGTTAGTTTTTAATTTTTAAATAAATTACGAGAAGTTTATTTCGGCATGAAATCTGGCATTTTGATTGAAATATATTTATTTAATAAAATATATTCTAAATTCAAAAAAATATTTTTTAGTCAATTGTTGGTCTACAAATTTATTATAATGGTTTTGAAATGTTTTTGGCTCGTTTGTCTATTCGGTGATTAAATATAAATTTAATTTAAGTTAATATTAATTTTTGTTATAACCTCTTGATAGTTTGATTGTTTTACTCTACAAAAGTTATTGAAAAATTTAAAAGAAATTTTTAAAAACAAAAAAAATATTTTTTTGATTAAAAAATAGAGAAAAGTTTTCATCTTTAAAGAAATTTCAACAGAAATTTTAAAATTAAAAAATACTCTCAAATAAATATTTTTCGGATAATTAGTAACTGGAACAGCATACATTTAAGTTTTAAATAATTATTTTAATTAGGGTTGGACATGGCCGGTTTTAAAACCGGAAATTTATGAAAATGAGCAGTTTAAAAAAATTCCGCCAAAATAAAACAGGTATTTGACTAAAACGCCAAACAGAAATTCGGTTAATAACTGGTTGTCTCCAATACTAATTTTAATGATATTTTTAATAAATTAAAGACATACCGATTCAACAGTCAAAATTGAAATAAAAATTAATAAAATAACAAAAAATACCAAACGTGAGAAAAGCATTTATTTAATTTTGTGATTTAAATTCTAAAATATTTTTTTTAAATGAAATTAAAGTTTAAAAGAAAAAGAAAATTATTTTTAAACAGTTGTTTGAGGGAAGTCACATTTTAAAAAATATTTTTTGAAAAATGACTGAAGGGAAGAAGAAATGTGTTTTAGAAAAGAGAAAGTGGGAAAATATTTTCGTTAAAAGAAACAAACAAATTAGTCATTTAATTGGAAAAAATTTTTTTAATTTAAAAAATGTTCTTATGAAATAAAGAATATAAAGAATTTAAAAGGATAAAAGAAGTAAAAGAAAATCTTTTGATTTTTTCGGATCTGTGTATACATATAAATAATACATACCCCCTCGTTAATTCCACTCTACCTCCAACAGCTAGAGGTTAAAACATAATTATCCAAAAATAATTATTCGATTATAAAGTAAAAATTATGGAATTTAAAAGGGTGAAGGAAGTTACGAGCATTGTTTTAAATTTTTTTAAAATAAAATTTTTGAATTATTTTAAATATTAACAGATTTATGAACTCATTAATTTTCATTAAAAAAATAACTTGGAATATTTTAAAAACTATAAATTTTTTGATTTCATAATTTTATTTGCAAAAATATTATTTTTAGGTAATCAACTAACTCTTTACTTCTTTTTTTTCTTTAAATTCTCGGCGATGATTCATTCTTCTTTTTTACAAAGTCGAAATAAATAAATACATATCTTTAAGTTATATTTTAAAAGAAATTAATGTGGCTATGACATTTTTTATTAATTAGGCGAATTGACAGCCGATAAACCCAAATTATGTTCATTAATTAATTAATTAATCTTCATTCTCTCTATTTTTTATAGGTAATAACTTTAAAAATAAGCATTTTTGATCTTCTTTCTATTATTTTTTTCTTTCTATATAATTATTTGTTTTTAAATATGCAAATAATATTTAGTACCAAATAAGGCTATAAAAATGTTTTTTTCTCTCTTTTTCTAAAAACTTTGCTCATATGTATTTCTTTTTTATATAAATAAAAATTAATTTTTTTTTAAATTTTTAATTTGAATATTTATTTTTTAGGATTTTTAAAATTTATACTAAACGGAAAATTTAAATTTGAGCCCTTAATTTTCATTAAAAAATTATTTAGACGTAAATGGCTTGTCTTGTATTTCTTTACACTAAATATGGGTACACCCCAAGGGGTTAAATATATTGTGAACTATAGTAAGTTATAGCTCTGCGGTACCTTGGATTGCTTCCTCTAACCTAAATAATCCCCAACTTTATCAATTTTTTACTTTTTTATGAGTTATTTTTATTCTCTTCAAATCAAAATAAAATTTGGGAAATTAAATTTTTTTATTTATTTCTTCATTTAAAAATCAATTTTAATTTTTCTTCGCACATTCAGCTACCCCTTGAGTAGTACAATCTACACATTTTTGTTTTGTTGCGCCAGAACCTGATTTTGAGAAAAATCCGTCTTTACACTCTTTTTTACATTTCTTATTTGTACATTCAACACATTTACTTGCACATTTTGTATTTTTGTTGCAAGCTTGATGGCAATCGTTGATTGTTTTACTCTACAAAATTATTGAAAATTTTAAAAGAAATTTTTAAAAACAAAAAAAATATTTTTTTGATTAAAAAATAGAGAAAAATCTTCTCGTCTTTAAAGAAATTTCAACAGAAATTTAAAAATTAAAAAATACTCTCAAATAAAATTTTTGGGTAATTAGTAGTAGATGGAACAGCATACATTTAAGTTTTAAATAATTATTTTAATTGAGGTTGGACACGACAGGTTCTAAAACTGGAAATTTATGAAAATGGGCAGTTTAAAAAAATTCCCCCAAAATAAAACAGGTATTTGACTAAAACTCCAAATAGAAATTCGGTTAATAACTGGTTGTCTCCAATAATAATTTTAATGATATTTTTAATAAATTAAAGACATACCGATTCAACAGTCAAAATTGAAATAAAAATTAATAAAATAACAAAAAATACCAAACGTGAGAAAAGCATTTATTTAATTTTGTGATTTAAATTCTAAAATATTTTTTAAAAAATGAAATTAAAAGTTTAAAAAAGAAAAAGAAGATTATTTTTAAACAGTTGTTTGAGAGAAGTCACGTTTTAAAAAATATTTTTATTTGAAAAATGACTGAAAGGAAGAAGAAATGTTTTAATAAAAGAGAAAGTGGAAAAATATTTTCGTTAAAAGAAACAAACAAATTAGTCATTTTAATCGGAAAATGTTCTTATGAAATAAATAAAAATATTTTTAATGGATAAAAGAAGTAAAAGAAAATCTTTTGATATTTTCAGATCTGTATATGTATATAACAGGGATGGATCCGCCTTCTGCAGAATTCCGCTTTTTTTGGCTCTTCCGCTTTTTAAAATTGAAAATTATCCATCCCTGGTATATAAATAATACATACCCCCATAAATATGCTCGAATAATTCCCCTCTACCTCCACCAGCGAGAGGTTGAAACAATAATTATCAAGAGTAATTATTATTCGATCATAAAGTAAACATTATGGAATTTAAATTTATGGAATTTAAAAGGATGAAGGAAGTTACCTGCATTAGGTTAAATATTTTTTATATAAAATTTTTGAATTATTGTAAATATTATAACAGATTTATGAACTCATCAATTTTTATTAACAAATAATTTGGAAAATCTTAAAAAATTTTTTTTGATTTCATAATTTTATTTGCAAAAATATTATTTTTAGGTAATCAACTAACTCTTTACTTCTTTTTTTTCTTTCAATTCTCGGCGATGATTCATTCTTCTTTTTTACAAAGTCGAAATAAATAAATACATATCTTTAAGTTATATTCTAAAAGAAATTAATGTGGCTATGACATTTTTAATTAATTAGGCGAATTGACAGCCGATAAACCCAAATTATGTTCATATAATTATTTTTAATTAATTTTAAGTAATTGACAAAAAGTCAGTAACCCCTAGAGAGATTTCCAAATTAATTTAAAAAAAATAAAAATCCTTTAATTTTAATTAAAAAACAAATATTCTCTTTCTACAATTTTTAATTTAAATAAATCATTTCGATATTTTAATATTCTCTCAAACTAAAGAATCAAAAATATCTGATAGAATGCTATACTTGTTATTTCTTGCATCAAATAACCACTTCCATTTTATATAGAAAAAAATACCCAATTTAAATTTTTGTCTTTTATTTCTTTTTAAAATTGAGTACCTTTTTGTCAGAGCGTATAAAAATTCAATTATTTCTTAAATTTATATCGAAAAATAAAGCAAATTAATTTATAATATTTTTTGGGGGGATTTGGTTAGGTTGGCTAAAAATCAAAAGATAATTTTAATAATTATTTTTAAATTTTTCTTAAGGATATATGATTTTATTTAGATTATTGGGTTGTTAAGACATACAAATTTAAAGTTAATTATTTAAAAATATTTCTAAATAATTTAAACTTTTGTTTAAATAAAGGTGATTGATTAATATTTATTGATAATCATTTTATAAAAAAATTAATTACAAATATTTTTGTCTCAACAAATTTTCACCAATTTATTATCTTCTAATGAGTTTATTACTTTCATTATTCTTTTTTAATTAATTAAATTAATAATTTCTCAAAAAATATTTATTTTTAATTTCCGTTATTTTTATTTACCTATTTTATTTTTTTAATTTTTTTTCAATTATAACCTTAATTTAAATTTAAGTAAATGACTCATCAAAATAATTTATTAAAGGAAAATTTAAATTTAAAAAACAAAAAAGAAGAAAATAATTATTCAATTAATGATTCTGTTAAATTAGTAGCTTCTACTAAAAGCCCGTTCCTGACACGACAAATTAATGAAAATATTTTGGAAATTAAAGGGGCGGAAATAGAAGAAGAAAATGTTGAAAATAAAAGGAATAATTGGATAAATTTTAAAAATTTAAAAATAATTAAAAATAAAAACAAAAACAACAATTTTATAATGGCTAATAATAATAGGTAAATTAAATATATTATTTTATTTGGAGCTGTTCTGGGGATGAAAGCGGAAGAACAACATTCCTTTATATCACGAATCAGCTCCCAGCTTCAACAGAATTCCGCTTTTTGGTCTTTCCGTTTTTAAAATTTGGCAGGGCCAAGTATTGTTAGACACGGTTCGGTACTACCGTCAGTAACGGACCGGTACTTTTTGGCACAATCGGTAAGATTTTGGGATTTTCGGTACTCAACCAGTGCAGGTACTTTCCGCTACTGCCGGTACCGGTATCATAAAAATCCATTTGCCCTTCTCTGTTATATACCCACATCTTGTAGATTTTCCTAAATTTCACCCCAAAATTTTCAATTTAAATAAAAAATTTAAGAAGAAAAGTTTGGAATAAAAAAAGAATGGTTGGAGTTGGAATTATTACTTTACTTGTTTTAACATGTACTTTTACAATTCTTGATTCATTTTTGGGCAACTCAGATAATGAAGGAGAAGAAGATGGAGAAGGAGATGAAGAAATTAGTAAAGAAGATGCTAAAGTAAATTTGAAATGAATTAAATATTAGGATTATATTACATTTTTAATATTTAAAAAAAATAAACAAAAATTTCAAAATTAATTTCCCCCTCTTTTTAAAATCAGAATTATTTAAACCAATTTGGCTACATTGAAGAACAAGAAGGTAAATTAAAAATAAAATGGTAATATTGAAGAGTACAGACCCCATTTTTTCCCCTTTATTTTTCCCCCTATATTTTTAAAAAATGGTCAGACTTTTACTTCCTTCCATCCAATTTGCCTTTCTAATTTTTGCCTAAATCAAACAAAAGGGATTATTTTTTGGTATTTAACAAGTATGAGTTTTGAGAAGACTCATTTTCTCTATTAAAACGGGAAATAAAATACCAAAAAATAATCCTTTTTGTTTGATTTAGGCAAAAATTAGAAAGGCAGATTGGATGGAAGGAAGGAAAAAGTCTGACCATTTTGTAAAAATATAGGGGGAAAAATAAAGAGGAAAAAATGGGGTCTGTACTCTTCAATATTACCAATAAAATTAAATAGATTTTTAAAATGTATAGGACGTGCTCTTGACGAGAGACAAAGGCATAGAACGGCTGATCAAATGCTTGAAGATTTTTCTTTAGAATCTCTAAAGTAATTTAATAAAATATTTTTTAATTTTTTTTTCTTTTAAAAAAGATCAGCAATTTCAAAATTTCAAGAATTTGCTGGTTTGCCTTCTACTGGAGAATTAGATAATAGAACAAGAAAGAAAATGAAAAAGCCGAGATGTGGAATGCAAGATGTTGAAATGATTAGAGGTAGAGGAGGAACTGGTTGGTAACTAAATATTTATTTAGTTTTAGGGATAAAAAATTAACAAGCAATCCATGTTTATTGGCTAATTTATAAGATTAAAGCACGGCTCGATTCTTTGATAAAAAACGGACCTATATTTCTGGCTAAACCCCAATGTATATGTAGGATAATACAATTTTTTAATTAAAAGGTACAACATTAATGTGGAGAAAAAAGAGATTGACATATCGTTTAGAACATGCAACTAACGATTTGCCAACATATATGCAAAGGTGGATATTAGTATGAAAATTAAAAAAACATTTTTTATACAAAAGAAAATCACTTAAAATGGCTTTTGATGCTTGGTCTCAACATATTCCATTAGATTTTGAAGAAAATAATGGTTATGGAAATGTTGATATTAGAGTTCGTTTTGCTAAAAAAAGTCATGGCGATCCTTGGTCTTTTGATGGAAGAGGTAGAAAAAGAGGAAATAAAATGTTGGGAAAAATATATCTAATTTAAAAGGGGGTGTTTTGGCTCACGCTACATTTCCGACAGATGGACAATTACATTTTGATGATGATGAACAATGGGCATTTATGGATGCGGCAAAGATTAGAAGGTGTTAAAAAATTATTTTTTCGTTATTTAAAAATAATGAAGAGGAGGGGAGGGGTGTTCAGTTAAAGATAAGGAATATTTAGTAGAATATTAAAAAAATATTCCAAAATATTTATTTTTAGTTATCGATATACAGATATGTTTTGGGTTTCTTTACATGAAATTGGACATGTTTTGGGACTTTCACATTCAAAAGTTGAAACAGCGGTTATGGCTCCATTTTACAAAGTATTTAAATTTAAAATAAATTTTAATTCTAAAAATTATTTTAAAAGGATCCATCAGAATTAGTTGATTGGAGAAATAATTATAAAACACCAGAGCTTACTCATGATGATATAAAAGCAGCTAAAGCTGTTTATGGTAAAAGAGATTGATTTTAAAAAATTTTTGCCTATGTTTAACAGGAAATAGAAATAGTCCAAAACCAGTAAGAAAAGATCCTCTTGTTGATATATTTGATAATAGCGACGAAGGTGATAATGATAGACCGAGAAAAGGAACAAATGGCAATTATTAAATTAAAGAAATTTTTAAAATTAATTTTAGATGAAAATAATCCAGATAATAATGGTGAGAATGAAGAAGATGCAGTAAGTAAAGTATTAAATGAAATATTTAAAATATTTTCAAATAAAGGAATAAGAACGACAAATAATAATTCCAAAATTATTTTTATTTTATTTTTAACATTAACAATTTTACTTTCAATTTAATTATTTTTTTATTTGAGTTAACAAAATATAATATTGTACAAATAAATATATTTAAAATTTTAATCGCAGGATTTAATCTTTTTAATTTGTAAATTGTGGGTCTATTCCCCTAAACTTATCGAATTCAAATTATTATTGACACACCTCAAGAATCTCTCGACAGATGAGGTGTAGGCTGCTAAAGTATCTCAAAATCCGAGACACTATATAGATTTTAAGGAATTTTCAAAATTCGTAACTTTGCAAAAATGTATACTTCACTTTCTCGTTTAACCCGTACCCCAAGGGTTTAAAAAACTGCCGCAGATTAAAAAATTTAACTCTCAAATGGGATCCCGCGATTGGGACTTTCTAATTCTTATTCTTCATTCCAGAACATGTTTTTCTATTTTCATTTTTTTACATTTTTATACCAAGGAGAACAATTTGGATCGTTCTTTTTTTAATTTCAACAGATTCAAATATAATATCGATCGAAAGCCCTGAATGGTGAATTATCTTTCTAAAAAAATAGGGTTGGCTAGGTTGGTTTTTTAGTTTTTTTATCGACTAGGGTTGGCAGATCATTGGGAAATCTTCGGATATCCGGATCGGGAAACAAAAATTTCAGTTACGATCAAAAAACAAACTTGGCACTCAAACATGGGCACTTTACAACTGCCTCAATTTCCAAAAAATATTGAAGAACTGAAAATTATTCGTGTCTGGTTAATCCAACTGTTTAATTGTAGTTATCAAGAAGTTAACTTTAGTTTGCTACGTTCAATTATGCATGCTTAAATTACTTTTTGAGAACGACAAAAATATTTTTACCAAATTTCTGACTAAATAGGCAACGATATTTGACTGTATTCATGGATTAAACAATATTTTCAAAGACAATCTGACAATTTTTGAAAGCCTCTTGATAATTCCTAGTTTGGCTTTGGAGGATTATGATGATTTGTTGCCATTATTTTTCAATAAAATTCCTTATGTCTTTTCCGGTCATGATGCATATCCAACGCTTTGCAACTTAATTTTGGATGTAAGTTTAACTTTTGCTTGTTTGACTTTTGCCTATATAAGTTTAACTTTTGCCTATATTGGAATAAATAAGTGGCAGGCCCGTAGCAATGGGGGAATCCCCCCTCCCACCTTACTGAAATAAGAATAAGGGAAAAATTTGTGGAGTGGATCGGGCAATAAAGTGAATTTTTTGGTGCCTTCAGCGCCGAGAGATCCCTCTTGAAAAAAATCCTGGCTACATGCCTGAAAAGAGGTCGTAAAAAGTTCACAACCCTTAAAATTTTTATATTTTAGTATATTGAAAATTCAACTAATTGTCAATTAAATGTGGACAAAACTGAGTTTCATTACATGAATTGGTCTTTTTTGCTGCGAGTGAAAGGGCAGAAAATCTTGAAAGGACAGAAGTTAATAGATTCAACTTGGTTAATAGATTCCAACCAACTTGGTTAATAGATTCCAACCCTTCATTGACTAGGGTTGGCAGATCATGGAAAATTATCGGATATCCGGATCGGGAAACAAAAATTTTAGTTACGATCCAAAATACAATTTTAGTGACCAAGTTGAATCTATTAACTTCTGTCCTTTCAAGATTTTCTGCCCTTTCACTCGCAGCAAAAAAGACCAATTCATGTAATGAAACTCAGTTTTGTCCACATTTAATTGACAATTAGTTGAATTTTCAATATACTAAAATATAAAAATTTTAAGGGTTGTGAACTTTTTACGACCTCTTTTCAGGCATGTAGCCAGGATTTTTTTCAAGAGGGATCTCTCGGCGCTGAAGGCACCAAAAAATTCACTTTATTGCCCGATCCACTCCACAAATTTTTCCCTTATTCTTATTTCAGTAAGGTGGGAGGGGGGATTCACCCATTGCTACGGGCCTGCCACTTATTTATTCCAATATAGGCAAAAGTTAAACTTATATAGGCAAAAGTTAAACAAGCAAAAGTTAAACTTACATCCAAAATTAAGTTGCAAAGCGTTGGATATGCATCATGACCGGAAAAGACATAAGGAATTTTATTGAAAAATAATGGCAACAAATCATCATAATCCTCCAAAGCCAAACTAGGAATTATCAAGAGGCTTTCAAAAATTGTCAGATTGTCTTTGAAAATATTGTTTAATCCATGAATACAGTCAAATATCGTTGCCTATTTAGTCAGAAATTTGGTAAAAATATTTTTGTCGTTCTCAAAAAGTAATTTAAGCATGCATAATTGAACGTAGCAAATTAAAGTTAACTTCTTCAAAACTACAATTCTTCAATATAAAGTGCCCATGTTTGAGTGCCAAGTGTATTTTTGATCGTAACTGAAATTTTTTTCCCGATCCGGATATCCGATGATTTCCCATGATCTAGTCGTGATAAATAATTAAAATTTCATTATACTTACTCAAAATTTATCGCATTTTATTTTAATGTACTTTAAATTTAAAAAATTCCCCGGGAAGAAGCTCGCTTGGGGACACCTCGTCTACGTTCCCCAAAAACTAATTTCGCAACTAACGTTCCCCGTAAAACCGGTCCCCGCCCCCTACCCCCCCCCTTTCCCCACGGCAGGGAATCGGAGTACACCTTTCTTGCGAAGTTACGAATTTTAAAACTAATTTTCTTTTAAAAGTGAATTCAAAAATTAAATCTTGTGACTAAAGAAGAAAATGTACCGTGGTTGTGCCGGGTCATATTTTAATAAAATTGAGGTCATCATAAAAAATGGAATTTAAAGTTCACTATGCTTTTCTTTGTCGATTACTTTGTTCTTTTCTTCTTTGTTATCCTCATTATTTAATATTAAGACTTCTTTTATTTCATTATCTAATTGTGTCCATTCCGGAATTATTCTCATAGCTGATTCTAATTTTGGTTCTTTTGTTTGAGGATTGTTACACTAAAAAACGAAACAGATTTTTAAATAAAATAATAAAATTTACCAAATCAACAGTTTTAGCATTCGTTTTGGAAGCATCATCACACCTGGAAAAAGGCATAATTAAAAAAGATTTAGCGTTTGTCGACAAATTTTTACGGATGGAAATTGGTGTGGTTAAAAGAAAAACAGACTTAAAAATTAATTTTTCGTTGATAAAATAACAAAAAATAATAAAAGTTATATTTAATTATAAATAACAATTTAAAAAATTACCAAGTTTCACACCAAAGCCATTCTTGAGGCAAAGAATGTATTCTAACTTGATGTATCATATTATTCGGTAAATCTTGATCCAGATTTGAAAGAGAATTTGGATCAGAACTAAGCCCTTGATATTGCCCTCTAAGGCGATCACCAGCAGCAATTTGCCTAAATTTTAGAAGGTCCACAACATAAAGAGCACTAATATGGTATTTTCGTCCAGCCAAATGAGAAGCCCAATATCCACTTTTCCAAAATCTAAATCCATCCATGGATGTTCTGCTATCACAAAAAGGAGTGTATCTAACAAAAATATAACAGAATTAATTTTAAAAATAAAAAATTAACCCATAAGGGGCTCCATGTAGATCAAGCTCCATTAATTCCATCATATCAGCACGGACAACTTGGTCAGCATCAACAAAAATTATTTTCTTTACATCAAGAGGGAATAAAACATCCAAAAATAGAATTTTGTAACTAAAAATATTAACAATTTAAAAATATTAAAACAAATTTAAAAACCAACCCCCACATAACCCTTTGTTTTTCAGTTTGTTGATGTAACCAACGTGGCCATTTATATTCGATTAATTGATAATCAAACCCGTAATGTTTACCCAAAATTGGAAGAGATTCCTATAAAAATTATATTTTTGTTAAAATATTTTATTAAATTATATACTCGAAATTGTGGAGAAAGGTAATTGTTGAGGAGCCAGAATTTAACTCGATGTTTTGTATTTTTTAGGACCTAAAATTAATTTTAATTAAAAAAGGAAAAAATAAAATATAATTGATACCGAAAGCATCATTATGCGCAAGAAACGTTCATATAAATGTCCGGAAGCCAAAGAAAAAATATTAATTACATCATACTTTTCACCACCCAATAATTTACTAAAAACAAATAAAATATTTTAAAAAATTAAAAAAAGTACTTTGACAAATTCTCAACAACTTTTTTTGGCGCAAAATTAGACCATATTGAGCCCTCATCATCATCATCTTCTTCATCCCTTTCAGGTTGTTCACCTGCATTATTTCCTTTATCACTTTCTTCACTTAACAAATTTCTTTTTTCCATTCCTTTTCGCTTAGCCACTCGCATTCTTATTGTTTTTCCGGTAAAGCTTTCAACCTAATATTGGGAAATATTTAAAATAAAATTTAAGGCAAAATTAGTTAAAAAGTAGGCAAAACTTAGGAAAAACCCTAACAAAACAAAACTAATTGTAAGCAAAATCTGGGTCACAAAAAGATAAGTAACTTACAAGAACATGTAATTCTTCTAATTCTCCATTAGCATTGTTTTCCAATTTTGTCTTTTCAGCGCCAACACTTCCTTTTATTTCATAAATTTCTTTGGAACGCCCTTCACGAAGACGTAATATCCAGGCACCTCAAAGAAATTTAAAAAATAAGAAATTTATTTTTTGTTACCAGGTCCAGCTTTTAATTGAAAATATCCCAAATTAGCCATCACTATTGTATCAAACATTGCTATATTTGCACGTGTTCCTAACACAAACTGAAGACCTCTTGGAGGACTTCCATTTTGTTCATCGAAGCAATGGCCTTCAAGAAGAATATGTCGCAATTGAAAACGAGCAATTACTTCTTTTTGGACCTAAATTTAAAAAACAAATTTTTATTGAAAAAATATAACAAAACCAATGCCAATCGAATATTGTCAAGGTCATGGTCAGACCATATTGGCTGTACCATCCACGCTTCTGGCACATCCAAATTTAATGTAAGAAGTTGTTTGTGAGGTAAGCCTTCAAAAAGAGCAACATTAGGCAATAATTGCCCATCTTGATTAAAAGCAGGTGTGTCAAGAAGAACATAACGATAATAACTGAAAAATAAATTGCAAAAAATTAATTTTTAAATTTACCGTTTTAAGGGGAGTTCAGTAATTTTAGATTTTGGATTCAAAGCTAAAGTTAAATCAACATTTAAAACTTTAAGTAATATTTGAAGAATTGGAATCAATTTTTGAGCCACACGAGAAATTGGATTAACAATTGCAACAATTTGGAATATCGGGCGGTCATCATCTTTTGCCAATAAATTCAAAACACTTAAAAAATAATTATAATTGTGTTAAAATTAATTTACAAACCTTTCAAATTCCATTCCAACATCGATAGAATGGCGACGTTTTTGTATAGCAAAATTTTCAACAAAAGAAATAATTTGTAACAAAGTATCAGAAGGATTTTTGACCTTAAAAAGTCATAAAGATAATTATTAAAGCATTTTTAATATTTTTAGACCGAATGTTAATTAAAAATTTTAATCCTTTCCATACCTTCTTGTCATTCTTCTTCCATCCTTTAACCATTTCAGCAACTTTTTTGATACCCTTTCTTTCAGCTAAACGTTCAGCCAACGCAAAATCATCAAATCCAAAATTCTCATCATTATCAAAAGGTCCATAAACCTTTAATATTAAAAAATTTTTTTAATAAAAATAATTATTTAAACAAACATTTGAATTAATAATAACAGCTAATTGTCCTTCAATTAAATTCAAATCATTAAAAGCAAATGCAGATTGAAGGGTTAATCTTTTTTCAACATTCCCATTCTTTAATTCAGCCAAAATAGGGTCTATATTAATTCCATGTCCACCAATTTCTTTTAATAAATTTTCAACAGATTCTTCATTAAATATTTCTTTACTAATCTTCTCAATTTCTTCTAATCCAAGTAATTTATTTAATGCTCTTTTTGCTGCCGCAGAAGAAAGACGTGTCAATATTGCTTCACAAATGTGTGCAATTGTCCAAGAATTCTTTTTAATTTCAGGTCCATTGTAAATTAAAGTTAACCGCATATAATTGCTTTTCTTAAGTGCTTTTAATGCATCACGTAATAATTGCTGTCCTTTAACTGAATTTAGATCTGCGACTAACCAAACAGTAAACCAATGAATTGATTCATCAAGCATTTCATCAGAACGAACCAAATAAAACCTTTCTTTTATCAGACAATTGAATCGATTTTGAGAGCTGAAAAAGTAAATTCAAGTTAATAAAGTTTAGATTGATAGTATTGGACGTTATAAAATCAGAAAACAATGTCTTGAAACGAGAAATTTTGCAAGGGGTAGGAGCGCCATAACTAGCCGGAAAATTTCTGGACCTTAACAATTTCGGTACCAATCCCTTTAGCTCGATGAGAGAAATCGCTCAATATTAAAATTTGAAAGATTCTGAAACCTTGAAGCAAGTTATAGCTTTGCGTCTACTTGGCCGCGCGTCTACTTCGGTTATCCGAGTTAATGAGGACACGATCATTAAAAATAGATTTATAGTACAAAAATAAAACCTCATTTTTTCAAGTAAAGTATAATCATCACACGAAACATCATTTGAAGTAAAAATAAATGGTTGTAATGTCTTCCTTTCATTATTATCTTCATCATTATTTCCAATTAATCTGGGATTTAATCTAGGTAAAACATCTGGTCTTGACATAACCCAATTTAAAATATTTTCTTTATCTGTTAAACTTCCATCCATAACTGCTCGTTGCAAAGAACTTGTTTGTCTCATAATTGAAAAAAGTATTCCATCCTCAATTCTATCAGAAGATTCTAATGCTGAATTATCTAATGGAATTCCATTAACTAAAACTGTTGGCAATTTTTTAAGTCCACTACGTCGATAAAAATTAATTCCAGTTGAAAGATTTTTGCTGTAATCAGAATTAAGACCAAAAATTTTGTCAAAATCAGAATCTTGAAAATGTACTTTAAAAAATTTGTGGACTTCAGAAACTTCAATTGGCGATGACAATTCTTCGTGAATCTAATAAAAAAATAAATATTTAAAAAATAAATCTAAAAGAAACCTTCAAAATAAAATGAACTGCTTTTAATATTCCTTTTTTTTCTTTTATAAATTCAAAAATATTATAAATAGCAACTTCAACATTTGATTTTCCATCTAATGAAGGTGTATCGTCAATAACAAAAATAAAACCAATTCTTAAAGGAACTTGGTGCATGTAAAGAGAAAATGTTGTTTTTAATATATCACGAGAAGAAGGCAAAGAAGGATTTAAAATACAAACCTTTAAAGAAATTTTTTATAAAATTTTTCTTTTAATTTACTTACCAGAGAAAATAAATTTCGAGCAATTGGTCGAATCATTCCTGGGAAATATGGTTGAAGAAGTAACCGAACACTATTGCCCCAATCAGAATATTGTTGATCTTTGTCTAGATTCTATTTTAAATTAAAAAAAAATTATTTTTATTTTAAATGTATTTTTAAGTAAATAATTCTCAAGGGTTAACATAAGTAAAATTAAGTTTTTAAGATATTAAAAATTGGGAAATTCTTTAATGGTGATAAAATCCAACTTTCAAAGGGCCCGTCAGCAGAAATAAAAATGGGGTGAATTGAAGTCTCGCTCATAATTTTTTAGCTTATATTTAAAAAAATATAATAAATTATCAAGAAAAGAACAAAAAAATATACAAACATTTATCCAATGAGGATCACCATCTCTAAAATCCAAAGCCCAAGTATTTGACTTATCTTCTGACAAATCAATTGTTTGTAAAATATTTAAATATTCACGCTTAAAATTAAAAAAAAACTTAATTTATCTAATCAAAAAAAACTTTATATCCAATTTGTTTAAAATAATTAGCAAGTAAGTGTTCTTGTCTCAATGTTTCAAAAAGATGAAATAAATCGATAGAATCAAGATCATGTCCAATATTAATTCCATTTATCCACAGAGCAGATTCTCCTTCAGAAAGTTCTAATTCTTTATTCCAATGATGTTGGTTAAATAAAATTTCTTCACGAAATGATTGACTGACTTTGATTTTTGTTAACGATCTGAATAAAGGAAATTAATTTCAAAGAGCTTATAAAAATTTTAAACAAATCCCACCTTGATTTATAAGGGAAATTTTGCGATAAATCTATAAGTGAAGAAATAACATTTTCAGGCGAATTATTCATTATATGTTGGGCTGCCTTAAATAAAAATATAATTGAAATCTTTTAAAAGACAAAAACCTGAAATCCAATATCTTCAAGTTCGTCCTTCTCCAAAGGCGTTAAAATTTCTAAATCATTTAAATCAGATTGTTCTCTAAACTTTTTATTTAAAAATTTAAATAATTTTAAAAATAACCCATTATTTTCTTTTTCATTATTTACCAAAGCCAAATCATCTAAAGCTTTATATTCAGTACTTTTAACAGCCAACTCAACTCCATAACCAGATAAAGAAACCAGAGGGGTTGAAATAGCCTTTTAAAAAATAAAATTATTTAAATTTATTACAGAAAAAACCTTTTTATCAAAATGTCTAAAAACATATTTAATTAATCCTTTATTAGACATTTTAACAAATTCTTTATGAAATTGATGGAAAAGTTTTGGTCGAGCAATATTAGCATACAAAACAATAAGAGAAGTATTTGCTTCAGGTAAATTAATTGGATAAATATGATCAATAGCATAGATTGGGCTGGATTCTCTAAATTGAAATTATTAAAATTACAATAAAAAAATCAAAGAAAAAATAAAACGAGGGAAATTTTCTTTGTCTAAGAAATTACGAAATTTTCAAAGATATAAGCCTTGAACAAACGCTTAGCTTTGATCTTAACGAAAATTACGATTAACAATCCGGTCGAGGTCCAATTTTTAAAAACTATATTTTAATTAAGTATTAAAGAAGAAATCCGTCATATCAAGAAAACAATTTTTAAAAATAAAAGAAAACCTTTCATTTGCCTTTTCAAGTAATTTATCAATTTCCGAATATTTACAACTAACAATTCCATGTATTTCATAAAAGGGGCTGTCATCTGAACATTCTTTTTCTTTTAATTTTGGTAAGAGACCATTAGCAATCTTAAATTAAAAAAAATATAAATAAAAATTACTTAAAATTTAAATAAACTTGTCTATGTAATTGAATACGCGCAGAATAAAGCCTTAACGACAAAGATAACCGAAGAAGAGAAATTCCAGACTGCCCATCAGGCAAAAGATTTTCAGCAATTTTAAGTGCCAAATTAAATTCTTGTTGATAATTATTTAATTCCATATTTAAATATTTTTCATCCAAACATTCCTCCACAAAATTCCAAAACAAATTCCCGTTAGAAATTGTATTTGCAACAAATTCACTTAAAAATATATAAACTTTTCCAAATAATTTATTAAAAAAATACCCAGTTTCAGCTAAAAACGATGTTTGTGTCCAATTCGCATCAAGTGAGCTTCTAACTATTTTATGACTTTTAATCACATTTGTACAACAAAAAAGAATAAAAAGTTGAATGAATAATTTACTATTTAGATTTAAAATATTTTTAAAAAAATCGAATTTATACATTAAAAATATCTGAAAAGTGCTTAATTAAAATATAAAAAATTTTGATAAAAATTTAATAAAAATGTTAATGAGAATATGAGAATATTTAAATTAAATAAATCTGTCTCTGATTTATTTAAAAGTGCAAAATATTCCACGCGATTTGCAAATAACTATTCTAACAAAAATAACGGTGACCGACAATTGGGCAGGGGACAATTAGACATAGGATCGGGATTACTAGAGATAATACCCCGGGCGGGATTTTACGTGATCCCGTCCCGGAATCCCGGGTTTCTTAGCGACGAACGGGAACCGGGATTAATCCCCAGGGATCCCTCCCGTTCGATTTTTTCAAACTCAATCCCGGAAATGTGATTTTGCCGATCACTAGTGATTACCCGCGTTCGGCAATTCTGTTAATATTTTGAAGGATATTTTGTAACTTGCTTCAGGCAAAAGTTAAATATTCAAGGTATCCCGGAGCCTGAACCCATCCCAGACAAAAAATAGTGAGTATGCGAAAAAATTTTTTTACACGACAAAGAAAAGAAAAAACATTTTGCCAACATTTTTTGAAATCCCGCAAAATCCGCAATTCAAATTAAGTGATGGATCGGGGTTGTGGTTAGCTGCCATTTTAATTGGCTAAACTACAGTTTCCGTACCAGGCTCAGAATTGGATGATTTATATGTCATTCGAAAGAGCTCGTCGAGCTGAGTCGAACGACACCAAAATTATTCAGCGGAAAAAACACTGAGCCGAGTTACAGACCCCTAAAATTCAAAAAACCATAGGGGGGACCAAGTTGTTCTTTGGGGGTGAAAAATTCGAATATGCAAATTATGCCTCATTCGAAAGAGCTCGTCGAGCTGAGTCGAATGACACCAAGATCGACGAAATCTGACTTGATTTGACAAAGTTATGACCGTTTGTTTTAACCCCTTCCACAAGGTTTTCGCGGAAAAAAGTTTTTGCCGCTGCGGAGGAAGCCGGGCATGTCGAGCGGAACGACGGCCGCCGCTTCGCTACGGTCGCCGCGAGCGCAGCGAGCACGACCGCAGCGAAGCACGGCCATCGTGTAGCGAAGACCATGCCCGGCCTACCCTCCGTAGCAGCACAAAAACAGTTTTTCCAGCGAAGATTCTGTTGGTCATAACTTTGTTCATAATCATCCAATCGAGCTGATTTTGGTGTCATTCAACTCAGCTCGTCGAGCCCTTTAGAATGAGCTATTATTTGTATATTCGAATTTTTCACCCCAAAAATCCCCCCAGAAATTTGACCATTTCGAGCACTATATCTAGGCTCAGAATTTGGATATAGTGTAGTGTACCGGTGGTAAAAGTTCGGGACGTGACATATGTCATTCGATTCGTCTCGACGAGCTGAGTCGAATGGTACAACTCTCAACTTTAGGAAATGATTCTGGGCCGAGTTATAGGTCCCGAAAAATTGAAAAACCATAGGGGGGAGTAAGCTCGATTTTGGGTTGAAAAATTCAAATATGCAAATAATAGCTCATTCGAAAGAGCTCGTCGAGCTGAGTCGAATGACACCAAAATCAGCTTGATTGAACAAGTTGGAGTCGAGATATAGGGCTCGAAATGGTCAAAACCCATAGGGCGGATTTTAGGGTCAAAAATTCGAAAAAGCATGTAATAGCTCATTCGAAAGAGCTCGTCGAGCTGAGTCGAATGATACCAGAATCATCATGATTGAAAGAGTTTGGATAAAGTTACAACAGAAAAACAATCAACATAAACCTATGGGGCGTCGGCGAGGCGCTTGTGCAAAACCCCGCGCTTCGCGCGGGGTTTTGCGGCACGCGCCTCGCGGGGAGTCTACGGGCGATGGGTCTGGGTTCGTAACATAAACCTACTCCCATCTCCCTTGCTCTGAATGTACTTGGGGCTCCAGTAACAGCAAAAACCTGCACGTAGACCAAAGGTAAGGAGCTAAAACAAATGCTCATAACTTTGTCAAATCAAGTCAGATTTCGTTGATTTTGGTGTCATTCGACTCAGCTCGACGAGCTCTTTCGAATGAGCTATTATTTGCATATTCGAATTTTTCACCCCAAAATCGAGCTTACTCCCCCCTTTGGTTTTTCAATTTTTCGGGACCTATAACTCGGTCCAGAATTATTTCCTAAAGTAGGGAGTGGTACCATTCGACTCAGCTCGTCAAGACGAATCGAATGACATATGTTACATCCAGAACTTTTACCACCGGTACACTACACTACAGCCCAGAATTTTTTCCGCTGAATAATTTTGGTGTCGTTCGACTCAGCTCGACGAGCTCTTTCGAATGACATATAAATCGTCAAATTCTGAGCCTGGTACGGAAACTGTAGTTAGGCTTTTTAATTTTTTCTTATTATAGTCCTGAACAGAAAAAATTCTTATATTCAACCTCATAAAATTCTCTTTACAAAAATATCAAAAGGAATTTGTAAAAATAAAGTTAAATTTTTTGTTAAGTTTTAAACGTGATATGTAGAAGTAAAATATTATTAGCCTCGACAGAATATAGTGAGATTTGATATCGTCATAGTTAATAATTATTTTAAATATATTTATGATACATAAATTAAAAAATGATTCTAATACAATAATTTATTCATTTTTAAATTTTCAATAATTTTTTACTAAAATACAATTTACATTTTATGAAAAGAATTAAAATTTTCATTAGTTATTCGAATAAAATTTTTAATATCTTTAAAAACATAAACAATTTTTAAAGGTTCTTCCTCAATTGCTGAAAAATAATTTTAAATAATTAAATAAATTTTTTAATTAAAATTTCAAATAAAAATTATTTTTATAAAATAAACTTGCCATTCTTCTCATCCATATTGATAGGATTTACTGTTTTACTTTTATTCCCATTTGTTCTTGTTAATATAGTTGAAAATAAAAGAAGAAAGAAATAAATTTTAGTTTTATTTTTCATCAAAAAATTATTTAAATAAAAATAATTTCAATTATTTTTAAGTTTATTTGTAAAAACTTCATAAAAATATACACTCTGTTTCAAAAGTATAACCCACTTTAATTTTTTTACATTTTTCGTTGCTTAATCAAGTTATCTTTTTGAGATTTTGTATTTAGATACATTTAACTGATCTACGAACATTCCCAAAGTTTCATGAATTTTGTTCGATCCAAAAATTTTAATTAATTTTTTTTCGAAATTTTTGCTAAAAAATGTGTTTCATAAGTATAACCCACTTTTATTTTTAACATTTCCAACATTAGAAAAAATCCACAAAAATTCCAACAACCATATATAGGAATATTATATAAAAATTAAAAAAAATTAGGCTCACAAAAATGACCGTTTAGATCGCTTCTGAAGTTTAACCACCTGTATCTCGCTAATGGATTTTTCTGAAAAATAGGGAAAATGCTATCTTGTAGCAAATTTCAAGGGCTTTCAGATAGGCCAATAATAAAATTTCAAAACTACCCTTAATGTGTCGAAAATATTTTTTAAATAGACTTACCCCCGTTTTACGTTGATTTTAGAGATATTAGAGGTGTCAGGATCTCGACACTGAGTTGAGATATGGACCTGATTTTTTTTTAGTTTTTATAATATCAATATACACGTTTGATGAATTTTTTTTAGATTTTTCCTATTGTTGCAAATATGAAAAATAAAAGTGGGTTATACTTATGAAACACCTATTTTGGGGAAGATTTTAGAAAAAAATTAATTAAAAATTTTGAATTGAATAAAAATTGATGAAACTTTGGGAATATCCATAGATTAGTTAATTGAATCAACATACGAAATTTCAAAATGATACATCAATTGTACATCGAAAAATTTAAAAAATCAAAAGTGGGTTATACTTTTGAAACAGAGTGTATTATACACCAGGGATCTAGCCGACATAAAAATGAAATTTTCGATTTCAGGAAATCGGGATTCCGAACCAAAAAACCGTCGGGAATTCCCGATTTTCGGGAATCGGGTCGGCGAGATCCTCGATATATGCTTATGTATTGTTTTTAAATCCCTACCTAGTATTAAAATTAATAAAATAAACCATTTTATTAAAATAATTTATTTTAAATTTATGTGAATACCTTTTTAAATATAAAATTATGATTCATTTTTATTATTGACATTTTTTCGAAAAAAAAAGATTTGCATTTTTAAAATAATGTAAAAAATATTTTAAATTTATTATGAGTTTATTTATTTATAATTTAAATATTTTTCTAAATAATATATTAAATGTTTAGAAAAATTGAAAATTGGGAGAAACAATTACCTAAATTAAAATTTATAAGAATAATAAATTTTGAATAAAATTTTATTAAATTTACTTTAAATAAAATTTAATTATAAAAATAGTGTATATTTCACTAAAATTTATAAAATTTTTTATTATATTCTTTAATTAAATATGTTCAAAATCAAGTTTACAACCTCCATCCATTACAGATTTTATTGCCAATTCCTTTTAAAAAATTAATATTATTTTTAAAATTAAAAAAAAACTTTAGTTTCATTAATTTCTTTTAATAATTCTTCTTTTCTTCCACCAATATCAATTATTGCATTAAATAATATTTCTTTTAAATTTTCGGAATTTTTTTTCATAATTTCAGCTACTAAATCAATATTGACCTTTTTAAATTGAATTTAAATTTAAAAAATAACAATTAAAAACCCCTTCTTCACTATCTTTCCAACAATCATAATCTGTTACAGCAGCTAAAGAAGCATAAGGAATGCCCAATTCTTTGGCTAAAACTACCTAAAATATTTAATTTAAAAATTATTTTTTTATTGAGATTGGGAGGAATTTACTATAGTATCTCCAGGAATACCCCCTCTCAATTATATACTAAAGTGAGACTGTAATTCAGTATGAAGGCTTATTTAGGGTATGAAGGCTTATTTAATCCGCGGGGAATTAGTGTTTCAACCAATCCCTGGCATGAGGAATTAATCGAGGGTGGCGAATAAATCGAGTAAATACAGTACTTCAGGGCAA